CCCAAGGCTGAGAAGGTCGGCATCGCCGCAGGCTCTCTGAAGAAGACCCCGACGGAGGCGGCTCTGGCCATGGTCGCGGCCATGGATAAGAGGACGAAGGCGGTCAAGACGAAAAAGAACGCCGAGGCGGTGAAGGCCCCCACGCTTGCCACGGGCAATGCTGCTAAGAAGACGACGCCGCCTGGCAATGACAACGCGGCAAAGAAGACGACGCCGCCTGCCACGGGCAACGTGGCTAAGAAGACGCCGCTCCCCACGGGCAAGAAGACGGACGGCGCGGCTGGGAAGGACAAGCAGCGCAAGTGGGCGAAGCCGAGGTGGGAGATGCAGACCACACGCAACTTGGCGAGCGGGGTTGAACCTCCCACCGATGAGGCGTCGGGCGCGCGCGGCGATTCCCAGCAGCCCCGCTGGGGTCGCAGTTTGCGCGCCCGCCGCCTTTCAGGCGACTGTTCATCGTTGCTCCGCCCCCCAGGTGCAGTTCCGCAGCGGCAGGGTCGGCGTCCCTGGCAGCAACGTCAGCCTGAAGTACATCGCGGGCGATGAGGCCGACAAGGCCAGATTCTCACCGACGCCCTTCTCGACGCCCTCCTCCGCGCTCTCTTCATTTTCGCCCCTGCCTCGACGCCCCCTCCGCCCCCTGCTGCCTCGTTGCGCCCGATCGCTCCGAGGCCAGGGCCATCGCGGAGGCGGAGGAGCTGGTCAAGAAGGAGCTCGCCGCCAGGGCGCGCGGCGAGTAATTCGCGCTACGACTCTTCAACTCTCCAGGCCAACGGGGCGGCCTCGGGATAACAAAAAGGTCGTGGCGGATATGCCGCCTCGTGGCGGATATGCCGCCTTGTAGCGCAGCCTTCTCGCCTTCCAACTCGTGGCGGACATGCCGCCCCCGCCCCACCCCTTTGCGCTCCTCCGCCCTTCAGGCGGACATGCCGCCGCCCCCCTCCCCTAATCGGCCCACTCCGCGCCCCCGCGCCACGTCCCTGCGCCCCCCTCTCCGCTGTCAGGCACTGGATCCCACGCCAACTAACGTCGGGGAGACGCCCACTGCTCGAACGGCGAAGGCGTTCACCCAGAATGGCATGGGCGCGCGCGAAGGCACCGACGTTGCCACCGCCCGTTCAACGACGAAAACAAGTGAACCAAGACCTGCACATTCAAAGGGACACCAGTTCACTTATATTTCTGGTTCCCAATGCCACCCTCACTCTGCCCCCTCCCCCGAGACCCCGTCGCAAGAACCAGCGGGGCCCTTCTGAGAGGCCCCCGAGGGCTCGAGGAGCTCCAAGACTTCAATGGGTCCATGGGCAACCCCCTCCCCCTCCTCCCGAAGTCTCGCTTCCGCGTCCGATTCCATTTCGGTTCAAGCCCGCGGCCCGCGGGTGCCCGCGAGCCCGCGCGGGGTTGGCCCCCCCCTTTCGCGCCGACGCGTGGGCTGGGGCCCGCGCGCCGAGGCTGCGCCGCAGCCACCGCGTCGCGCTCGGCGCCTCGCACTGCGGCCGCGGCCATGGCAGACAGCGGCAGCGCGTTCGACGCGTTGGAGGCAGCTGCATCGCCAAAACAAGTGGCCCCGCGTGCGGTAGCCAGGGACGCGCGCATCGCGCGCGAAACTGGCTGGCCGCTCTCGGTCGAACTGTTTTGGCGATTCGGCGCAGGAGATGTTCGGGCCAGCGATGCAGTTGCTCTCCGACCTTGCGGGCGTGGACAACAACGCAGGGGATCGGTCTTCCTCCGCCAGCGGCAGTCGGCCAGCCAGCGCGCCCACGTTGGCGGCGCAGCCAGCGCGATCGCGCAGCCCGCGCCACCCGCGGGCACCGTCGACGCCGCCGCGCAGGCGGGGGCCGACGTCACCGCCGCGGGACCCGCGGCAGCGGCCTTTCCCGCCCTCGGCTCTCGTGAAGGAGCTCGCGTCGCACATGCGGGGCGCGACGCCTGTGGTGGAAGAGCCCCCCGAGGCGGTGGAGGCGCATCCCAGCGCGGTGGAGGCGTTCAGGGCGCAGCTGCGAGCCTGGCTGAGCGACCCCGTTGGGAATCCCATCGACTGGCGGTCGGAGACCGTGCTCGCCGTGCTCAAGGAGTACCAGATGAAGTACGACTACAAGAAGTTCCGCGACCGCGGCCCGCCTGGCCCCGCCATGGGCGGGCCGCAGACGTGGCAGGGCCAGGCGTGGCGCGCCAATGCGAAGCGCTGGGGGAACCGAGGTGGCGCAAAGCGCGAGATGTACGCGAAGCTGCACGGCAACAAGGCAGCGCCGCGGGTGCGCGAGGCGCACGTCCCCAAGCCTCAGCTGATGCATCGGGAGCCCATGGCGCCGAACTTGCCCAAGACGATGCCTCAGCAGGCGCCGTGGAGGACTGGCAATATGAACCCTCCAGTTCCGCCTCCGCCGCCGAAGACCATGGGGCCGCCGCCGCCGAAGACCAGGCAGCCGCCAGCAGGGAAGCCCAGCATGGTGCAGCCGAGGGCAGGGCGTCGGCTGCAGCCGACAAGCAAGATGGCACCACCGCCAGCGAAGCCGCGCCCGCCCGCCCGCGGAGATGTCTTCTTGTAGGGTGATCGCGTGGACCTGCAAGCGGGCTGGGGTGCATAGCTTCCGTAATTCGAGCGCGGATAGTTGCAGCTATCCGCGCTGACGCGTCATGACGCGCCGCCTCTCCCCGCCTCGTCTCATCTCATCTCTCCTCCCCTCTCTTCGTTGCCGATCTATCTCATTGGCGGACGCGCCGCCTCCCCCCGCCTGGCGGACAACCGCCGTTCAGATACGAGCATCGGCGCATCGGGTTTGTTCTATGCGGTTGGAAAAAAACACCAGTCCTTCCCTGAGCCACCCATTGGCGGCTAAACCGCCCTGAAGCCTCCATTGGCGGCCACGCCGCCCATTGGCGGCTAAACCGCCCATTGGCGGCCACGCCGCCCTGAGCCCTCCATTGGCGGCTAAACCGCCGCCGCCGCCTGCTGGCATCCCGAAATGTGCGATGCCACCGCGCCTCTTACACATGTATGTTTTTGTTGTTGGGACGCTGTATCGGCTCGAATCTAGGCGCGCACAGGCTCGCGCCCCACGCCGCCCCTGCGCTAGCCGTGCACTTCTCGCCCTGCCGCCATGGCAGGCCAGCAGGGCGAGAAGACCGTCATGTTCGGCTTCAAGTGCCCACAGAGCAGCAGCTGCAAAAGGGGCGGCAAGTGGTTCCAGGGAGAGACAGTGGAGGAGGCCAGGAACAAGCTGGTGAACCACCTTCACGTGTCGCCGTACCACAGCTTGAGCGAGGACGAAGCGGAGGTAGCTGCTATCGCACTCGAGGCCGACTCGTGGGAAGTCGACCTCGCGGAGTGGCGCCAATGGGAGGAGGAGAAGGCCAACTGGGGCTCCGCCAAAAGGCGCAAGGGGGCGCCGAAGGTCGAGCTGGCGCCAATCCCTCCACAATCCCGCGTGGAGCGCTCGCACCAGCTGAAGGACGCGTTCTCGGGGGGCAGCGGATCGTCAGGCGCAGCTTCGTCAGCCACGGCGGGCATGAGGATGTCCACGGCGTTGGCCAGCCAGATGTCGCCCGATAGCATCGTGGTGCTCAACGGCACCCAGTGCCAGGCTGTGCTCGACTCGTTGCGCCGCGCGCGTACTGCGACGCAGATGTGCGCCCAGATAGCGGAGCGCGCGGTGAACGCTTTCCGCCAAGAGGAGCAATGCATCGCCGAGTGCGAGGACGTGCTCGCGAGCTGGCTGGTGCGCAACGCGACCTCGTAGGTGCAGGTGCACGGCTGGCAGCACTGATGTCGCCTCAGCATCAGTAGCCTCATTCGCGCAGGCGGCGCGACGCGTCGGCCCTACACGCCCCCCTCCCACTCCTCCAACGCAATTTCAATCCACACCCCTGTGTCAGAACAAATTAGGACACCCCCACACACTCCATCCGCACTCAATTCGTGAAGGCCGCCACGCCGAGGTGAATTTTGGCCACGCAGGCGGCCGAGTAGCCGTCCCCCAATGCAAGGCGATATGGGGGCGAGTGGACGAGCGGAGCGGGAGGAAGGTGAGGGAACTTCGGCGGATAAGACAGGTGGGCGGTTGGATGGGATTTGGCAAAAGGGCTGGGTGGAGAAAACTGCATCCGCATAAGAATGAGTGCGGCTATTTTCTGGATGTGCTGCATCGCCATGTCCGCCCACCCCCCCATCGCCTTGCATATGATGACGCTCAGGCAGCGCGCCCCGATTGCGCGCGCTCGCCCGTCTCTTCGCTGCCGCTCAGGCAGCGCGCCTCGCTTCCGCGCTCGCCCGTCTTTTCGCTGCCGCTCAGGCAGCGGTTTGAAGCACGCGGCGCCGTCCGCGGTCGGTAGCGCAGGGCGCCGCTCCGCCCCTGCTGCTCCGCTTAACTAACTCGGCGGACGTGCCGCTACGCCGCCGCCATGCACTGGCAAAAAAACGTTGGCTGTTATCATATGTTAGCATATGTTATCACGCGCCTGATAACACCTGATAACACCTGATAACACCTGATAACATGTTATCAGGTGTTATCATGTGTTAGCATGGTGTTATCACACGCCTGATAACATATGATAACATATGATAACATGATGTCAATTTTGTGTGGTTGTCATGTTGCGCGCAATTCATTTCAGTATCCGTATCACCTCGTGCGTCCGCCACGCTTCGAGCGGCTAGTCCGCTGGCGGCCAATCCGCCTCCCTCGCCGCGCCCCTGCACCCTCTCAAGCGGCGAGTCCGCTGGCGGATATGCCGCCCCCTTCATACCTCACTCCACCCCTCCCTCCACCTTTGAAGCGGCTATTCCGCTGGCGGCTATCCCGCCTCACTTACCGCGCGTTTTCTTCGTCATCGCTTCGCGTCCAGCTCATCTTGGCATCAGGGCCGCGCGCGACGCGCGGCTTCTCGCGTGCCAAGGCGGTCACGCCGCCATGGCGGGGACGCCGCCCGCTGAAGATCACCAGCAGCATTCTCTGGCAGTGATGTTCGGAGCAGCCAGGCCGAAAAACAAGGGAGTGATGACCAAGGCGCCCGCAGCGAAGCCCCGTGGGAAAGCTAAGCTATCGGGGACGCAGATGACACTGACTGGACAGCTTGTGCCGCCGCTCGCATTGACCGACGCAGGGCCGCCGAAGGCACGCGGGAAAAGCAAAGGCAAGGGCAAAGGTAAGCACCCCGCAGCGTTGAGGACGGCTCGCAAAGCTGCGTCAGCCGCAGCTCCCGCCGAAGAACTGCCTCCTCAGGGCGCAGCGGCTTTGCCACCAGAGCCGGACGACGCAGCGTCAGAGGCGGCATCGGGCTCCGAGGAGCGCGGCGACGAGATTGGTTCCGAGCTCGGCGTCAAACAGGATGAGCTTGAGAGTGCCAAGCGTGAGCTTGAGGAGGAAGAGGCTCCACCGCAGGGCGCGGTAGCCAAGGTTGAGAATGAGGAGCGCTCGCCCGAGGCGGCAGCGCCGCAGGCGGAGGAGGAGGAGGCAGCTCAGGACGATCCGCCAGCAGGCGCTCCCCAGGTAGGGGAGTTCGTGGATGTGCATGGCATCGGGCATAGCATCGTGCGTTGCAACCGCTGCTGTCGCACGGCAAAGGAGTGCAACTACAGGATCAGGGCGAAGGGCCAGTCGACTTACCAGTGCGACGCGTGCAACACGAACGGGGTGCGCCTTTCTCGGAGGTTCGGACAGTGGCCGCCAAAGTGTTTCGCCAAAATGAAGAGTGAGTTCAAGCAGCAGTTCTACAAGGATCTGGCAGAAGATCCTGGGCTGTCGAACCTCGATCGCATTGAAGCCTTCGTGGTCAGCTCAATCACTGTCCAACGGATGGAGGAGGAGCGCGTCCGCAAGGGTGGCAAGTACCTTCCGCTGAGGAAGTGGGCGCACGACGGCTTCGACGCGAAAAAGATTGAAGATAATGTGCAGGATAAGAGGTGGAACCCTGATCTCGGGGAGTGGACGTACAGGCCGCAATTGGAGGCGGCCTGGAGCGAGACAGTGGAGGCCGCAGTGCGCAACGAGCTGTACACCGATAAGAGGACGCAGGCGAAGCAGAGCGGCCCGCGGGCAGCGGCCTCGACGGGCGTCGCAGAGCACGGCGGCGACAAGGGCGACAGAAGCGACGAGAGCGACATGTCCAGATCCAGGCGGCGCCGCAGGCGCAGGTCTGACAGCCGCAGGAGGAGGAGGCGCAGCATGAGCAGGCGCGACAGCAGGGGCAGGCGCGACAGCAGGAGCAGACGCCGCGACAGACGTCGCGACACCAACCGCAGCAGGAGCCGCTCGCGCGGCGACCGCGACAGGAGCAAGAGCCGCCGCAAGGGCAGGAGCAAGAGCCGCGGCAAGAGCAAGGACAGGAGCAAGAGCAGGCCGTTTGGGGGTTCAACGCAGGGGTGTCGCCTGGGCTTCGCATTCGTTTTCGGTTTCCGTTCAACTCTTCAGGTTCGGATCGGGTTATTGATTTCGCTCGGCTCGAAGTGTTGTCATTTTCGGACAACCCCGAAGGCTCCGCAGGGATAAGGACGCTGAGAAGGAGCGGAGGCGACAGGAAGCGAGGGAGAAGGCCGAGCAGGCCAAGAAGGAGACGCAGGAGAAAAACCTGGCGCTGAAGTGGATCGGCACCGCAACGAGGCTCGAGACAGAGCTGGACGGGTACCTCGAGCATGAGAAGGCGGACAAGGTGCCGTCATGGGCTGTGAAGAACGCGAAGGCGGCGAGGAAGTCTGTGGCAGTCATGAAGGCGGTGGCGCAGAAGCGCGTGCACAGCGGCGTGGCGTTGACGATCACGCAGGACGAGGCCATCAGCATCCAGAAGGATGCGAGCTCGGCGGCGAGGGCCATCGCGGGGATGCTCAAGGAGGCGCAGAAGCACAGCACCTGAGCGCCCCATGGTGGCCCAGTACATCATGAAGTACGGCCTGAAAAAGGTGGAGAAGGACCCGAATAAGCCGCGGCCGCTGGGCCGCTCGTGAGCAGGGGCGGCAGTTGGGCCGCTCCTGACGAGGTGTGTGATTTCGTATATACAATTGTTATTGTTGGTGAAACAACATTTCCACCGCCACCCCACTCGTTACCACCGCAGCCCTTCGTTTGGCGGGGATGCCGCCTTTCCACTCTCGCAAGCCCTTGGCGGACATGCCGCCTTGCCTTCATTTGGCGGAGATGCCGCCTTTGCTGCTCATCGCGCTCCGATGCCTCACTTGGCGAGGCGAAGCGCTTGCCTAACTCCCTCCTGCTCGAGCGCGTCCTGCCCGAGACCCTACCGCGCGAGCTGTGGCTCGCGAAGGCCAGCGACACCGTTGGGAATCCCATCGATTGGCGGTCGGAGACGAAGCAGAGGCGAAGCAGCTCCTTGGCAGGGGCGGCAGTTGGGCCGCTCATGACGAGGTGTGTGATTTCGTACAATTGTTATTGTTGTTGAAAAAAACATTTTTCGTTGCCCGGCCCCCACCGTTACCACCGCCCCTTTTCGCGGGGGATGCCTTTTCCACTCTCAGCCCTTTGGGACATGCCGCCTTGCCTTCATTTGGCGGAGATGCCGCCTTTGCTGCCCACCGCGCTCGCACCGTTCTCTCGCGTTTCCCAATGACATGATCTGCCACCGTCCCACCCCTCATCCGTAGTCTTTGTGGCTCAAGTGGAGCCGCTCGAGGTCGTGCCCCTTCGCGGTCTTGCGCCGCCATGGCGAGCATCGCGGACAAGTACGACGTCGATGACTTCGAGCTCATCACGGGTGGCAGTGCGTGGAGCTGGGCGACCATCGTGGTGCGCTTCATCGAGTGGCGCAATCGTTGCCGCCATGCACGCGCCGTTGGCATCAAGGGCCAGATGCTCATCGACAAGGCGCGGCGCATGATGGAGGAGGCGCGCCGCACCGAGGAGCGCGGCAAGATGCTGTGCCAGATGTCGAAGCAGATGGTGCAGGACATCCCAGGCGGCATTCGGTTCTTCTGCCGCCAGCCGCACCAGGAGAGCTGAGCGGCGATCGGCTGGGCCGATAGAGGAGGATAAGGAGGAAGAGGAGGCAGGATGAGGAGAGGAGGAGGAGGTGGATGAGGAGTTGGAGGCAGCACGCGCACCCGCACTAAGAGCCGCCAGCCGCCGCCGCGCCCGTCCCGCGCTGCGCCCGTCCCGAGCTCGAGCCGCCAGCCGCGCCCGTCTCCGAGCGCTGGCGGCTTGGAACCCGAGCTTGAAACTCAAGCTCGAAATTGCGTGCGAGAAAAAGAAATCTCCCTTGCAAGTTCCGTTGCTACGCTCACTTCGCGCCTCCGCAATCTCCCCCACCCACCCCCTTCCCCCCTCCCCCCTCCCCCCATGCCCCCTCGCCCCCACGCTCTTCGGCGGCTACGCCGCCCCTCCCGACCCTTCAGGCGGCTACACCGCCATGCCCTTCGGCGGCTACTCCGCCCCGCGATCCATTCCCGCCTCCACTTCCGTCTCTCTGGCTGCAATTCGTTTTTCTCAACCGCGCTGGGCCTCGCGCTGCCCCCCGCCCCCGCCCCTCCCGCGCGCGGGCGTCGGCGCAATGGGGAAACGCGCCCTGCAGGTGGACAAGCAGGTGGAGCAGCGGGCTCGACTGCAACAGTGTCTGGCCCTGCGCGGCGTGTCCGCGGCTTTGCTCGAGCGAATCGTGACTGCGCTTGGCCATGGCGACGACGCGGGCGATGCTATAGACGTGAGCGCTCGGGCCATGCAGCGATCGCAGACGGCATCCGTGGCCGATCTCATCAGCGCAGTGCGGCTGCAGCCCAAGATCGGCACGCCTTTCCGATGGAGCGTGGCGCTGCCGCATCGGCTGATGCCGAGGCTCCTGTCGGACTGCCCTCTCTGGAGTTCAATGTTTTGGGAAGCGATGCGCCGTTTCCCTGTGTCGCGCGATCGGCCGTGGAGGCTTTTGCTGTACTACGACGACATTGGCGTGGGCAACGCCTTGAAGATAGATAATCGTCGGAATCAGCTCGCGGTGTATGCGAGTTTCCTCGAGTTCGGATCCTTCTTGCAGAAGGAGGTTGCGTGGCTGCCGATCGGCACCTTGCGCGTCGTCGTGAAGAAGAGCATCGGCGGCTCGGCCGTGGCGCGGGCATTGCTTCGCGCGCTGTTCCTGGGCCCAGAGAGTCTGTCGGAGCACGGTGCGCCAATCGGCGGCGTGCACTTTTTCGCCAAGTTCCACCGCTTGATTGCAGACGAGGCGGCTGGAAAAGAGACATTCTGCACCAAGGGCGCTGCAGGTCTGAGACCGTGCTTGCAATGCAAGAACGTTGTGCTGGATCAGGCGGAATGTCTTGCAGACTACGACGACGATGATTACCTCGTGCCTCTCTGGTGCGCTGACTCGTCGCGCTTTGACCCGCTGTCGTCAGACGAGTTTTTGCAGCAATATGATGATTTGGCGTCGCTGCGGGACACGACAACCAGAGCGAACATCGAGAGACTGGAGCCAGGGAGGAAAACATTTCCATCGATCCCCTTCTGATGTCCCCCCCTTCCTTCCCTTCTGATGTTCCGGCCCCCGAAGGAGACGGCAATGGGCATCACTCTGGATGACCGTTCTCTGGTGGCGTGCCAGGCGTTGCGGACGGTGGCGCCGCCGAGCACATACGTGAGGGACCCCATGCATACCATGCTGGCCAGCGGCGGGACCTTGCAGGTCGAAATCTTTGCGCTCCTCAAGGCGGTGAGGGATGTCATCCCCGACGCGTGGGGAACGTGGCGGGATCGCTGCTCGGCGTGGCGGACTGGCAGACGCGGCAGGAAACCGCCAGCGTTTCTGTTCAGCGTGGCTCGGAAGAAAGCGACCTGCAAGGCGTCGCACTTCGTGGGCAAGGCGTCGGATTGCTTGGCCGTGTTCCCTTTGATTCGTCATTGGGTGCACACAGAGCTGCGTCCCAGCGGCATGGCGAACGCTGCGGCGCGGTCGTTCGAGGCGATGGCGAAGATGCTCGAATTGTACATGCAGGGCAAAAGGACATGCGGCCGCAGCTGAAACGCAAACGCTGGCCTGCGCGTTCGAGGATGCACCGCGTCGGCCCGCGCGCATCCTCGAGCGCTTAGGTGGCAGGCGGTTCGGCTACGTCCTGAGGATCGGCGCCGTGCCGAATTTGATAGCTGTCTGGACCAAGGCCGTTTCGATTTCCTTGGCGCTGCACAAAGCCGCGCACGGGCCAGCCCTGATCAAGCCGAAGCATCATTATTTGTGGCACGTCCCCGACCAGCCTGCGGAGGACGGCATCTGGTTGGACGCCTTCGTACTCGAGCGGAAGCACAACCTGCTTCGGTCCAGGTCGCAGGAGATCGACAACCCTGAGAATTTCGAGCGGTCGGCCTTGACGGCGATGCTCGCCTGCTTCCTGGAGGAAGCGAAGGAGGCGCCGCGCTCCCGCGCCAAAGCGTGGCGCACGCCAGAGCTGGACAGTACGTTCGGGCACTCGGGGCGCAACCTTGCATGCCCTTTGTGGAGGAAGATGGGCTGGGAGAGGGGAAGGCGGTTTGCCGCCGAGGCGGCTCGCCGCCAGGAGGAGGAGGAGGAGGAGGAGGAGGAGGAGGAGGAGGAGGAGGACCCCTCCGCAGGGCTGAAACGTGGACCAGCAGAGAGGCGTCCATCGACGGCCAGATGTACGGCAGCCAGGACAGACGGCGCAACCAACCTTGGTATTTAGGGGTGCACATGCGTGTGCCCCCCCAAAAATCGAGGCGTTGCTGCCCTCAGGATTTTCTCCTGGGCGACGGCGAGGCGTACATCGTGCATTGCTGCGCGCAGGCTGGCGCCGCCAGCTACCTGCTGGTGGAGACCCTGGAATGGGTGCGCGCGCCATGCCCAGGCGCGTCCCTGTGGCGGCCGCGCGGCGACGTCGCCGTGATGCCCGCCGAGCTGATCCCGCCAGCCTGGGCGGCTTATCGGCGACTACAGGACGATGGCTATGTGCTCGCCATCACGTGAAAAAGGAAAAAACGAGCGCATGCGAGAGCGGATATGCCGCTGGCGGATGCGCCGCCCTTCGATAGAGAGGTGCAGGAGGGAGGGGCGGATATGCCGCCGAAGAAGGAAGGCGGGCTCGGGGAGGGAAGGCGGCAGGAGGGAGCGGGGGCGGGCTGGCCGCCGACAACGAGGAGAGGAGAGGGGAGGCGGTGATGGCCGCCGAGGGGAGGCAGTTTGAAGAATAGTTGATCCCCCCCCCTCTCCCTCTCCCCCCTTCCCCTCCGCGCCCCGCAGGCGTCCTGAGGGCGGCTCGGCGCGTCGACCTGCGGCGCCCTGTCCTGAAAAACTGTTGTGTTGTAGTTGTTAAAACGTTTTTTGTGTTTTTTTTTCCCGAAACATAGCAATATCAAGAACAAACATGCAAAACATAGAAAGTTATGCAAATTTCGGGTTAACCGAATCGGACAGCCCACATCGACTTAGCTGACTTAGCTACTAAGTTGGGTATGTTGAGGTGTATGTATCGATATATCTTGGCAGTGGTACCCGATAGCTCAGTTGATAAGATGGATGGTTCTGTGAGTAGTATGTATGGTATGTTGTTGAATATACTTATCTAACAAAACGTTAAGTAGATGAATGCGAAGTTCGATATTTTATATATGTTGAATATGTGAGGTCAACTAGCATGAACCTACATACATCTTCGTTGAAACGATTTCATCGGATATACAACGCTCTTACCGCACTTACACCCACCCGACGATCAAAGCAGCTGCATGCAGCAGATCTCGTAACCCCCCCTTTCCCCCCTTTCCCCCTTCGTAACCCCCCCTTCGTAACCCCCCCTTTCCACCCTTTCCCCCCTTTGCCCCCTTCGTAACCCCCCCTTTCCCCCCTTTCCCAATCCCCCCCTCTCGTCCGGCCCGAGGGGGGCCCCGCGCCACAGCCTTGCCGTGGCGCCTGCGCTGCGCGGCGTGGGCGCGGAGCCGGGCGGGGAGGGCGCACCGCGCGTTGCGGGGGGTAGTTGCCGCGCCTCGGCGGGGGGCTCTCGCTCCCCCCGCTGGGCTGCGCCTCGAGGCACCAGAGGGCGGAGGCCGCCGAGCACTGTGGAAGTCGATCAAAGGAGAGGACGCAGGCTGCCAAAGAATTCCCGGATGGCTACAACATGTTTCAAGCATGTTTTACAGATGTGTAAAAACATGTTTGAAGCATGTGTGAAAGCATGCCTTCAGCATATGTAAGCAACATGTTTGAAACATATGTAAGCAACACAAAAGATGTTTCAACTTTGTCTTCAACATCTGTAAAAAAAACATGTTTAGAACATGTTTAGGACGTGTTTCACACAGTTTAAACACATATTCAGGTCAATGATCGGATCGTTAGAGTGTCCATTGCCATGGCACCCACAAGCCGAGGAAGGCACACGTGCCAGGATCCTGCAAGGGTTCCCAGAGGATCCTCTTGAGGAAGTCCTCGGACAGTCGGCGCCGTCGGACAGAGGCGGTTGTTCAAGGTCCGGGGGGATCCGCAGAAACCAGCGCCCACGTCGTCCAGCGTGAAGCTGCCGCACGGGAGGTTCTCATCCAGCGGTGGCCGAGGGGGCCAAAACAAGACCTGCGGTATTCGAGGGAGTTCAGAGATCGACGACGAATGTGCCCTTGTATGGTTCATAACAACATGTTCTTGCTGTGTGAACGAACATCTAGCGTGAGCCACAAGATGCGGGGAATATCAAGCAATGGATTTGACAGGCCAATCGGTGGCAGGCAAGGCATCATATTTCCATTTCCTTCTGTCGTTCTCTCTCTATCTCTTAGGTACGGCCAGGAGCTGTTGCTTAGCGTGTCGCGCTGCTGGTTGTGGCTCATCTCGCTGTGCGCGGCATGCTAACCACGCCGCAGCCCCTGCAGAGGACCGGTGCGCCAGAGGACCAGGTCGCCAGCGGACGGTACCCGAGCGTCAGCGTCCCGAGTCCAGAGCGACGACACGCAATCCGCTCGTAAGGCAACATTGCGTGTCGCTGGGGCCCCCGCGGCGACGCTCTCGGCAGAAGTGCCAGACCGTACCTGTGTCAGGCGAAGCCTCCCGTCGCCGCTGCCTTCCCCTCTCTCTCTCTCTGCCTCTCTTCGAAGACCTTTTCTGACCACATCCACCTCTGGATCCTCGATTCTATGATAGGTCCTCGGGGGTGGAAGTGTGTAGTTTTTCCTTCCCCTGGGGCGGGGAAACTGCCCACCTCCACCTCTGGAAACCTCTTTTCGCAAGGCACCTCGGGAAGTGGGTGTGGTCAGAAATCGGTCTCCTATCTCTATATCTGTCCCTCCCCTGCCCCTCCTCGCCCGAGGTGCGCGAGACCTGCGGGGTGCACAAGCCGTTCATCCGCGCGGTCGAGTCGGTGCTCCGCAGGTGGCTTCCGGGGACGGGCGGGGAGAGGCCGCGGCAGAGAAGCCCCAGGCCCGCGCGCGCGGCGTGGGCAGCGGGCACGGCCCGAGGCTCTCGGCGTTAAGTCGGGCGTGTCCCCCTGCAGGGGGATTTTCGACGAAAACTAAAAAGATACCCAAACAAGAAACCCAAAATGGTCAACAAATACTTAAAACACAGTCCCCATACTATTTGGGGACTTTTTATTCTTATATTATTATTATTATTCTTATTATTATTAGTATTAATATTAGTAGTAGTATTAGTATTATTATTAGTATTATCATTATTAGTATTATTATTACTATTATTATTATTAGTATTATCAGTATTATTATTATTATTAATATTATTATTGTGATTATTATTATTATTATTACTAGTATTATTATTAGTATTATTATTATCATTATGATTATTATTAATATTATTATGGTATTTCCTATCTTTCGCCGAAAATCCCCCTGTAGGGGGACACGCCCGACTTAATCCTGGCGGGGCTCGGCCCCTGGGCGAGGGCCCTCGCCAGGCCGCGGCGGCTGGCCCGAGCGCGGCTCGGCGCGAGAGCCCGCACTTTGAGGAGGCCCTGCAGGGCAGAGGAAGCACAAAGCAGGGCGTGGCGCGCCCGGGGAAGGGGATGCCGAGTGTCTGCTGGGGCAGCGAGCGCTGGCCGAAACATCCCCACTCGGGGGCTCGTCGCGGATTTCTCGGATCCGCGCGGGAGGCCCCTGGCGCCGCCTCTGGCGCCGCCCTTGGCGCGCTCCGCGCGCCGAGGAGGGGGGTCCAGCGCCGATCCGAGAAATCCGCGCGGACCTCCGCGTCTTTTGATGTTTGTGTCATGTGTTGTTGTCCTGATGTTGTGCGAGGTCCTCCCCGCCACTGGGGCCGTTGGTGGAGCTCCCTGTGGGGCCACGATGCTCGTGCGGGGCGTGCCGGAATGGCGAAATGGTTCACATGCGGAGGGGAGAGGCAAGGATTGGAGGAGGGAGGAAGAGGAGGAGGGAGGAGGAGGAGGAGGAGGAGGAGGAGGAAAGGAGGAGAGAAGGAGGAGGAGGACGAGGAAAGGAGGAGGAATGGAGGCGGAGGATGAGGAGGAGGAGGAGGAGGAGGAGGAGGAGGAGGAGGAGGAGGAGGAGGAGAGGAAAGGAGCGGGAACGCGGGGCGCTGTCTCTCCAAAATGAGGACCCTACACCACAGGATGGTTGGGCAAGACCATGTCAGGTCCTGCGCGATGCCACCGCAGCGCGCGGGCCTGCCACCCCTGGAGGGGGGGGGACAGGACCCTCAAGCAGAGCACAGCCCTGAGCCCAAATAGCACACTGGACTTGTGGTCTAGCTGAGATCCACGGCTTGAATTCGGGCTATCCCTATACGTACGAGGCGTTCCAGAAAGAGGTTCGCCTTCGAGGGTCGAAGGAATGGTCACTTCTACGGAAGGCGGCGTAAATCTTTATTCCAATCATTCACGTGCGAACGTTGCCGTAACTCCTAGAAAGTTCTTGGCACGCGGATGTCATGCGCAGCTGCGCGCTTCAGTGAGGAGATGCATTGCCTTCACGATAAGGGGTTCCGGAGACTTGGGGGTTCAGTGGTTGAGCGGGGCGCTGCTGGGGTCACCCGGCGACGCGCACTGTTCATTGCATTTCACATGTCATACGGACCTTGCCCTAAAAGAGATGGAATCATTCTGGACGTGGCATGCTCGCATTGGCGGAGAACATGTTCTTGCAGGCGATGCCAGCCCCCAGAGCAAGTTCGACCTTCCAGTCACTTGTGCGAGCCTCTAAACCGATCTGTTGGTCCTCTCTGCAGGGCCGAAGCCGGTGATTAGCTGGACACTCAGCTCCGAGGGATAGGGCCGACAAGTTCGTTTTGTCTCGCACATCCAGTAGAGTTCGTTGGGTGTGGATTGCCTCGGACGACGAGCCCGCTGGGCATGGTCATCTAGTGCTATCTGACCGCCGACTTTGACGAGCTCGGCAACAAGCCAAGGACGCGGCGTTCCCCTGCCATCTAGGTAATTACTGGTTGGTTTGCGGCTGCTTCTGCGCAGCGAGATGCGTCCCGTGGTGTATACGCCCAGAAGCGTCCTATCAGCGTGGGGCGCCGCCGGCTCTGGCCCACCACGCTTGGCGCGACACGCTGAGCACGTCCCAGCCCCCAAGCATCAGCGTTCCGAGCTTCTCCCAGCCTCCAGTCCCCAGAAGCAGAGCGACACGCCATCAGCCTGCAGGGCACAGGGAGCCGCGGCGGCCGCCGCCGCCGCGACGCGCGGAGCAGACGTTCCTGACCGCATGCTCCGTATGGGCCGTATCCTGAGCGATGCCGTCGACTGGGGGTGGCAGAGGCGGCGGCGTTGGTGGGAATCGTGCCGGGCGGGGCGGCTGCCCTGGCGCGTACGCGTCTGAGGGGCCAGATGGGGCTCGTGGCGTTGCCGGAGCCTCACTGCGAGTTTTGCGCGCCTGTGTTCTTCGAGCGGAGTTGCCCGGTGTTGCCGTTGCTTTTTCCACCGCCACGGGTGCTGCACCTGCTTGGCGCTGGCGCACAGCAGCGCCAGCTCGATCGCACCGGTCGTTTTGAATTCGCAGCCGGGCATGTTCATTTGGCCAAATGCCCCGATGGTGGACGTCTGGTCGATCTCTGCCTCTTCGGCATCGGTGTAATGAAGCTTCTCTCAAATTTTATTCAGGCGATCGTTGGTGTTGCTCTTCGTGTCCCTCGAATATTTCTGCAGGGGCGCTGGCCAACAATATGTTCGGCGCCCCCCTTCCGGGGAAGCCGTGATCGGCGTTTCGGGGAGGCGCGCCGACTTGGGCAAGATCAGATCTGTGGACCTGCGGGGGCCCCGACCCCTCGTGTTCCCCACCTTCGCCCCTCTGAACAGCGCTGGCGTCAAGAGGTCATGCCCGCGCGAAGATGCATACACTTCGACGGTGTGCTGAAACGGGAGGGTGATGGAACATGTGCGTTCGCGGCTTCTCTTGGCCATCTTGGATTCAAGGCACAGCCTGGTCAACTTGCCAGCTTGTGAGTGCAGCTGGTTGCGGAACACTACGATCACTGGGCGATGCCACTGCCTGGTTTTACCAGTCCACGTGGCAAGCCTCCGTACGAGAAGCGGGGGCCGCCTTGGCCACTTGCCGCAGTAATTCACCGTCAGCGATTGCTCTGCTCCAGGGCCTGATGTGCTCTGCTGGTGTCCTCCCAGGCCGGTGGGTGTTCACATTGTGTGTGCCCTCACCTGCTCTTGCTTTTATATCCGGTGTTGCTTACAGCTATCTAGTGATGACCACCCAATTGTTGTCACTGTAACCCACGCATTGCCATGGCCGTCCTGGCAGAGGGCCTCGTGAACGATCTCACTCCATGATTGAATTTGATGCCTGGAATCGGTTTCTGGATCAGATCGCTGCGAATCATTTGTGGCGGCTCTTCGCCACTACTTTTCGCGCTGGTCTCAGACAGGCACAGACTTTTTCTGCATGGTCGCAGCCACGGTACCGAAAGTGAGAGCTCCCCCGCTTTTCCGCGCAGCCTTCGGCTGCTCCTACCGCCCCTCCTGCTGCTGCTGCTCCTTATCCTCCTTCCCCCCTGTCTTGCCTCCCATACCACTCCTCCTCCTCCCACCACCCTCCTCTACCCTCTTCCCCTCCAGCCGCCCCCCTCCCCATCCTGCACTCTGCCCCATCCTGCCATCCTCCGCATCCTCCTTCTCATCTGCCTTATTAGTATGCTTCTTCTTATTATTCTTATCATTATTATTAATACGATTGACAATTTGATATTTCCATTGCTTTCGTAAGTTCTGCGACTCCTTATATGTCTTCGTCTTCTGCTTAGTTTTCTTCTTCTGCTTCTCCTCTTGTCCCTCCTCTTGTCCCTCCTCTGAGGGCTGGAGAGTCTGGGCCTCGGCAAAGGGGGAGGCCCGGGCTGTCCTTCGGCAAGTGCATGATCTTGTGCGGGGGCCCGGAGAGCCCCCCCTCCGCCGCTTCTTCTCGGGGGGGGGTGGGCGGTTCTATCGGCGGCGCCCCAACATACTAGTACTTTGTGTGCGTCGCCCCCCCCGGGGGCGACGCGCGCACTGGCCACACCGCTCGGGAAATGATATACGATATACGACAAGGTGGGTATACTATATGTTCGGGTCGGACGCGCGCCTCCAAGGAGAGCGCATATTACGAGCATGTCTCCGTGCGTCCCACTCCAGGCCTCCCAGGTGGGGTCGGAGAAGATGGGGTCAGGGGATCGCGCCGCATCGCCGATGCCTCGGCGATGCGGCTCGATTTGGAGCCCCAAATCTTCTCCATGCCGACGCCGCCGAGGCATGGCCAACATCACCAGCGCATCGCCACTGCAGCGGCGATGCGTCGGCGATGCGGCGACATCACCAGCGTCGAGGAGCGAGAGGCAGAGAGTGGACGCGTGCGTCCTGCGCCACTGCCCTAGTTGGTGCCTCCCCTGACCACTGCGGCGGTGTGGCTGGAAGGTCCGGGGCTGCGAGTTGGAAGAGCAGGCTTCGGGGGCTGCGAAAAGTACCCCTGGCTCAAGGTGCCCCCCGGCTTTTCGCTCAATCTTGGAGCCCCTGGGGCGCTTTGGGCCTCGTGATGGGGTGCTCTGGAGGCCGCCGTGGGGGCCTTCTTGGGGATCATCCTGGGGGCACCTTGGGCCAGGGGCACTTCTAGCAACATCCGGGTGTTGCCCTCCGAGGAGGAGGAGGAGGAGGAGGAGGAGGAGGAGGAGGAGGAGGATGAGGAGGACGTGGGAAAATTAGGAGTTGACTTTGTTCCGCGTCTGGCGGGCTTCGGGCGGTTCCTGGTGTTTCCGAATGGCTTCAACTTGTTGTTCGGAGGGGATGGGGCTGGGGTTGTTCGGAAGGGCGGTGGGGCAGAGAGGGGGGGGGGGGGAAGATGGGCGCGCTCGCGCCATATCTGACACCTTAACCCCTCCCACCCATCCCCTTCCATTGCGGAGTTTTTTTATCTATCTGCGGACGCGTATCATAGCAGACCTGGAACTCGAAGCAATACCTCATCGTGTGATGAGCAATCAGGGAAATGGGAGCTGCGTACATAGGAGGAGGGAGAGGAGTAGAAGGAGGAGGAGGTGGCAGATGAGCAGGAGGATGAGCACGAGAAAAAAAGGATGGGGAGGAGGAGGAGGAGGAGGAGGAGGAGGAGGAGGAGGAGGAGGAGGAGATGGAGGAGGAGGAGGAGGAGGAGGAGGAGGAGGAGGAGATGGAGGAGGAGGAGGAGGAAGGGACGCGGGCGAGGACGAACAGCAGCAGCGGGAACTGGAGTGGAAGGAGCGGGGGGGGCAGGAGCGGGGGGGGAGGCGGAAGAGGGGAAAGGAGGGGGCGGCAACGGCGAGGAAGGACTCGGGTCCAGAAAAGTGTGGCCCGCGCTCGGGCGAAGGCGCCATGCTGAACGACGGCAGCAGCGCCGTGATCCTAAAGTGAGCTCCACGCTGCAGCGGGGGCGCCATGTTGCTGGCATGGTGAGGTTCGGACTTGGCAAACACAAAAGAACTACAAACTGGACACTTTTCTATGTGTAGAAATCAGTACGCGGAGGGGGGCGGGCTGCTCTCAGGTCATCTTCGGGGGAGGGAGGAGTGTAGTGTTTACATGAGGGTGCTTCAAATGGTTTTGGCGGTTCTGGGGGACCCCAGGCCCAGGAAGATCGGCGGCTTTTAGAGATTCCTGGAAGGGTGCACGGGAGCAGGAGCGTACATGCAGGAGGTCTGACATGTAGGACCAGGGCCAGGAGTGCAGGAATCAGCGAAATCTTATACGATTTTGGAAGCACAGAGGAATAGGAGTACAGGGCTACGGTCGGGTGGGGGGGGCAAGGGTATCGAATATTCAACGCTACCCCAACGGTCGGACCCCGCATGGGGAACTCCTGAGTTTGTCTGAGGGTAATCCCCACTTCTTTCCCGTCCCATCCTTGGATTCAAAACATGAGGTGCAGACCCCATAGGGAGGGGGCTCCCTCGTGAATTTTCGCAGTAATTCACTCACAGACAAAGCCCCCGCCTGAGACTTCCTGAAGAGGCAAGATTCCGTGGCCCACAAGTGACGACATCTACAGTTTCCGAATGACATTCTTGGATTAATAACCCTGGCGACGAACCCAACCATATGCAGCTGTAAGCAACGCAGTTGTTGTTTTACCGTGTTCGGTGGAGATCGCGATTGAGGTCACGAGCCGTGTGAGCGATGCGCTGGAATTAGCAGCGGGGGCACTGGGGCCTTAGGTGCGAGGGGTACGCCGAAATGGGCAGCGCGGACGCATGCGGGCGGCCCCACTGGGACCCTAGGTGGGCCTCCTGATGGGGCCACGAAGCGCGTGAGGGGTGTGCCGAAATGAGCGGCGCAGACGCTTGCTGGCGGCGCAACTAGGTCTCGGGTTTGTCTCCCTGTGGGGCCACGAAAGGTGTGCTCGGTGTTCCGAAATGAGTGGCCGGGACGCGTGTGGACGATGTGTTATTCGGGCTATTGGGGGAGCTCCCTATGGGGCCACGAAGCGTGTGAAGGATGTGCTGACATGAGTGGCGCGGACGCATGTTGACGGTTCCATGTGCGCCTTGGGTGGGGCTCCCTCTGGGGCCACGAAACTTGTGATGAGGGTTGTGCCGAAATTGGTGGTGCGGGTGCGTTTGGCCGATGCCGTTGGGGTCTTCGGGGCCTTCGGTGGGGCTCTCCAGGGGCCACAGAGAGTTTGAGGGGTGCGCCGGAATGGGTGCGCGGACGCATGCGGACGGTGTCCGAGGTGTCTTGGGTGGAGCTCCCTATGGGACCACTGGTCGTGTGAGGGGTGTGCTGACATTGGTCGCGCGAACGCATGTGGACGGTGTCCGTTCGGGGCCTTGGGTGGAGCTCCCTATGGGGCCACGATAAGCGTGTTAGGGGTGTGCCGAAATTGGTGGCGCGGACGCATGTGGACGGTGCCATTCGTGCTTTGGGTGGAGGTCCTTACAATCAACCCGCATAGTAAGGACAAGCGATTTTCCAGGGTCACCCTTGAATCCTTGCCCCTTCTGCCCATCCCTGGCAACGTTCGCTGGCCAACCCCCGTTCGGAAAACATCAACATGGCTTCTCAAGGCCCTTGCATCCTTACCACGCATCCGTACTACACGGGTTGACTTTATGGGTACATGAAACGTTCGAGGGGTGTGCCGAAATTGGGGGCGCGGACGCATGTCGACGGTGTCCGTTCGGGCCTTCGGTAGAGCTCCCTATGGGGACACAGAACGTATGAGGAGTGTGCCGTAATGGGTGGCGCGGACGCATGTGGATGGTGCCATTGGGTTCTTGGGTGAGTCTCCATATGGTGCCACGAGTCAAGTGAGGGATGTGCCGACATGTGTGGCGCGGACGCATGTGGACGCTGCCGCTGGGGCCTTGAGGGGGGCCTTCGGTGGGGATCCCCATGGGGCCACGAAACGTGTGACGGGTGTGCTGGAGTGGGTGGCGCGGGCACATGTGGAAGGTGCCAGTCGGGTTTTCGGTGGAGCTCTCATGGGACCACGAAGCGTGTGAAGGATGTGCCGTGGCGCGGACGCATGTGGACGGTTTCACTGGGGCATTGGGTTGGGCTCCCTGTGGGGCCACGAAACTTGTGAGGGGTGTGCCGGAATTGGTGGCGAGGTCGACTGGTGACGGTGTCCGTTGGGGCCTTCGGTGGGGCTCCCTATGGGGACACGAAGCGTGTGAGGGTTGTGCCGAATTGGTGGCGCGGACGCATGTGGTCGGTGTCTCTGGGGCCTTCGGTGGAGCTCCCTATGGGGCCACGGAGCGTCTGAGAGGTGCGCCGAAGTGGGCCGCGCGGGCGCATGTGGACGGTGCAACTGGGGCCTTGGGTTGAGCCCAATGGGGCCTCGAAATTTGTGAGAGGTGTGCCGGACTTGAGCGGCGATGCATGTGGACGGTGTTCCTGGGGCCTTGGTTGGAGCTCTCGATGGGGCCACGGAGAGTATGAGGCATGTGCCGAAATGGTGGCACTGATGCATGTGGGCAGTGACACTGTGGCCTTGGTTGGGGCTCCCTATGGGTCCTTGCAGCGTGCAAGGTGTGTAACGCAATGTGTGGCGATGATGGTGATTAGGACAGCGATCGTGATGACGATGCTGGTGGTATTGACGGCGATGATGCTGATGATGTTGATGATGTTGTTAATGTTGATGGTGCTGTTGATGATGGAAGAGGAAGGAGGGGGATGCTGAATAGGAGTGAGGGAGACGCGAGGCGCTGTCTCTTCAAAACGAGAGCCCAACACCACAGGATGGTTTGGAAAGTCATGGTGTGCGGGGACCATGGGGAGGAGGTTCCCGCTTGATATTGAATCTTATTTCGCTCACAGACAAGTCCCCCGCCTGAGACTTCCTGAATATTCAGGCCTCCAGTGCCCAACATTGACGACAGTTTCAGGTTCGGGGTGGTCCCTTGGGATTCAAAACATGACGTGCGGGCCCCTCAGGGAAGGGGGTTCCCGAATACATGTCCTACGCATGTCACTCACAGAAGAGGTCCCCGCCTGAGACGTCCAGCAGATTCAAGCCTCAGGGGCCCAACCGTGACGACAGCTAAAGGTTCTGAACGACCCCCTGGAGATCAACAACGAGGTGCCTGCCCCATATGGAGGGTGCTTCTGCCCGAGACTTCCTCGCAATTCATTCACAAGGAAAGCACAGGAACGCTCCGCCTGAGACTCCCTGAAGATTCAAACACCAGAGGCCAAAACATGGCGACAGTCACAGGTTCCGATTGACCCCTGGGATTCACAACAAGACGTGCGGGCCCCATGCGGAGGGGGCTCCCGTATGAGTCTTCCGCGCAAATCACTCACAGACAAAGTCCTCGCCTGATACGGCTCATTGTGCCGCGCCGCCGGTTCTGGCACACCACGCTGCGGCGCGACACGCTATCCTTTCTGCGGCCCTCGTGCGTCAACGTCCCAAGCTTTCCCGAGCCTCCCGCCCAGCCGAGGCGACACGCTGAGCATAAGGTCCCGACCGTAGACAGTAGGTCACATGGCCTGGATGTCATGTGCAGGAGGTCCCCAGGACTTCAAGATAGATCGACCCTCGGACTTGTGCTGGAGCGCGTCCTGGCCAGATGCTCGAAACGGATGCAGTCAGGGTGATGCGGGCGGCCTCCGAGGCCCAAGCATGGGCTAAACTCCGATCTTCGATCCCACGCCCAGGTCTGAGGGCGGAGAGGTGGACCGACGAGAAGGAGGATGAGGAGGAGGAGGCTGCGCAGGAGGAGGAGCAGGAGGAGCAGGAGTGGGAGAGGGAGAAGGGGAACAGAGAGAGAGAGAGAGGAAGCGTGGGAGGAGAAGGAGGGAGGAGGAGGGCGAGGAGGACGAGGAAGAGGAGGAGGAGGAGGAGGAGGACCAGTGCAAAACCAAGAGGCATCAAAGATGTTGGAATCAACCCTCCCTCCAAGCTCCCTCTTCATAGGCCCCCACAACGGTTCATTTCCATTGAGAAAATTGCCTCGTTGGAAGACAACTGTTTGAAGATCCTGAAGCCACGTATCAAGGCCACGTATCAACCTGACTGTTGCGTCTTGACGATCCGGAATTGTACCAGAGTTCCATTGTTTTCAGATATCAACTCCGCGAATCATCATACTTGCTGCACCCGCTTAATATTGAATCTGTCCAACACCATTCTTGTTACGCTGATCCTGGGAATCCGTGAAACGCTTGCAAAGTTTGAAACCACATGTGCGCGGCGCTACGGCGAGAGCAACATTTTGAAAAGGAACCGCCCTCAATCCGTGAAGCTCTTGCAAAGTTTAAAAGCGAATGTGCGCGGCACTAATGCGAGAGCCACAGTTTGAAAAGGAAACGCCCTCAACCCGTGAAGCTCTTGCAAAGCTTGAACACGAATGTGCGCGGCGCGAAGGCGAGACCAACATTTTGAAAAGGAACCGCCCTCAATCCGTTGAAGACTTGCAACTGTTTAAAACGAATGTGCGTGGCGCTAAGGCGCTAAGGCGAAGCCACATTTTGAAAACCACCCGCCTTCAATCCGCGAAACTCGCGCAAATGTTTGAAAACGAATGTGCGCGGCGCAAAGGCGAGAGCCACATTTTGAAAACGACCCTGCCTCCAGCTGTGAAGCTGATGTCACGTCTTAAGCTTCAGAGTCATAAGTGGTGAGGAAGTCTCAGGCGAAACGCCCGGCCCGCCCTACAAACTGGCCTCGGGGTGCGACAGGGAGAAGTTATCTATAAGCAGAGGGAATGGAAAAGGGGAAGGAGATGGAGGAGGAGGAGGAGGAGGGGGGACGAGGGAGAGGATCGAGGGTCGAGGAGGGGGAGGGGGAGGAGATGGTGCGGGAGCGGCGGGGGGGGGGAGGGGGGCGGGGCGGTAGAAGGGGGGGCGCCTCCTCCTCGCGTCCCGGGGGGACGCTCTGCAGGGCCGCCGCGCGCCGCCCCCCCCCCCCGTCGCGCCAGGACTGGCCGACCTCCGTCCTCGCGGGGATCCTGAGGCTCTCGCTCTGGCAGTGCCTCCTCGGCGCCCCCCCGCCGCCCTCTCCCCGCCCCCCGCGGCCTCCGCCGGCTGCTGCGGCCGCGCGGGCGGTGCGTCGACGCGTGCCGCGGAGGCCGCCGGCGGGCACGGCGCGGGCCCACGCGAGAAGAGCGCCGGGGGCCTGCGGGTGCTCCCACGGAAGCCGCTCGAGGTGCCCTGCCGCGCCCAGGGGCCCACAAGCATGGATGAAGGCGATCACAGGCATGGAGCAAGGCGGCGTGGATTGGCGGCGGGTCCCGTTTCCATAGGGGAATCCCGGGTTTCCGCCGCCGAAGGAGGCGGCCCCGGCCGCGTTTTGGGGAGGGCACCTCCCCCGATCCATGGATTTGGCGACCGCGCGCCAAGTCCGTGGATCGCTAATCCATGTGTGCGCCCCCCCGACAGAGAATGGTCTACTAACCTCTTGAGGTCTGCACGAGCTGCTCTCATAACAGTTTGGTCGAGACCGTTCGTTTTGACACATGGCGTTTATGTTCTGAGAACATCGTTTTTGTTGTTAGAGCATTGTTGGGTCTGCGACAATTGCGTGGCAGGCCTATAGGGATGCTAGGACGGTCGGTCCCTGCTCAGATGTCGGGCGGGTGGTATTGGAGGGTTACCCAAGTGTCGGAAACTAGAGCATCTACATTACCAGGTAGCGGGCTGCTGTTCAATCCCGGGATTTTTTTGAGGGTCGGGGACGACGTCGGGGTGGTGTGGCGCATTCTTTTTTCCGTTCCCCAGGACAAATCAGGAAAATGTGCACACCAGGACCCCGTATACACCAGGATCCGCTTTCCTGTGCGAGTGTCAGTGCGGGGCGGGAGCAAGCGTCGTTTTGAAGAGTCCGGTTCCCTACAAGGCGGGGGGGGAGAAATTTCACCTCAAGGGGCCCTTTAGGGCTCTTTTTAGGGCACCTTTCAGGGCCCCTTCTAAGGCCCCCTAAGGTTTTTTTGGGGGGGAGCTTGTAGGGCCCTTTCAAGGCCATTACCACCCGCCCGACGATGGCCCCCATGGGGGCCCGCGGAAGCCTTGGGGCAACTCGACACTCCAAGGGACAGACGAAGACCGTGCCCCGAGGCTTCTTTTGCAGCGCGCTTTCGGATCGCCCTCGGCGATCGAGGTTCGAGGTTCGAGGCTCGACGATGCTTCGCGCCCGCCGCACCCTGCCACGATCGAGGCCCGAAGCTTTCGGTACTGTCTGGGGGGCGGGTTTTCGGGGCCGCTCCCAGTCGCCGCGGCTGGATTTCCGCCTCGGAGTTCAGGCCGTCGGCACGCCTCGGGAGGGGTCTTGGATTCTTTTTGTTTCCGACCCCCCCGGGTCCCAGGCTTCGAATGCATTGGAGAAGGTCAGGACGTCTTGCTTTCACAGTTCGCGACGTCTGGGGGCTTTTTGTTCCCGACCCCTCGGGGTCCCCGACATCGAACGTATGAGAACAAATCAGTGAGCACGTCGTAGTTTCACAGTTCGCGGCGCCTGGGGGGCTTTTTGTTCCGGACACCCCGGTTCCCAGATTTCGAACGTATTTCAAAAGTCAGCACGCCGTGCTTTCACACTTCGCAGCGTCTGGGGGCAGTGGTCGGGGTCCAGGGCTGCAACAAAAGACGGCGATGGGAGGAACACCAGCCTTGGGGCAGAGGCTGGGATTTTCGAGGGTCCCACCCCGCATGGGAAACATCAAGACATCCGAAGTTTGGGTCGTCCGCCTCGTTGTCTCGCCCCCGCCCCCCACGCGCCCTCCTCCGGCATTGCCTCCGTCGGCTCGGTGCCCTCCTTGTTTCGTTGCTTCCCCGTCGGTTTGCTCCGGGGGGTCTGCTGTCTTCTGCTATGGATCCTTTCCCAGACAGTGCTTGCACTTGGGACTGAGGGTCTCTGATTCCGGCTGCCCGCGGGATTGGATGGGTGGGGCGAGGGCAGGCCAGCCACAACTGGGGGGAGCTGTGGTCCTTCCCCCCCGGGGGGGAACCCCTCGAAGGACCAGGGCTCCCCCAGCTATGGCTGGTCGGCGAGGTCTGGCCACGTTGCCGCCCGCGGGTGCCTCGTGAGCGCCTCGCGTGCCGGATCGCTGTGCCGAGGCTGTGCCTCGTGGCCGCCCGTGGGCGCCTCTCGGGTGCCTCGCGTGTTGGGTCGATATCTGCCGAGGGTTTTCGCCACGCAGCTGCCCGTGGCTGGACGTGGGCGCGGGCGCGGGCGCGTGCCATCCGCCTCCTCCTCCCTCCTCCTCCTCCTCCTCGTCCTCCTCCTCCTCCCCCTCCTCCCCCTCCTCCTCCTCCTCCTCCTCCTCCTCCTCCTCCTCCTCCTCCTCCTCCTCCTCCCTCCACCTCCTCCTCCTCCTCCTCCCCTCGTCCTCCTCCTCCTCCCCCTCCCCCTCCTCTCCTCCCCCTCCTCCTCCTCCTCCCCCTCCTCCTCCCCCCCCTCCTCCTCGTCCTCCTCGAGTCAAGTAGCTTACGCCCCGCAGCCTGCACCACCGTCTCCCAGCTTGCGCCACGCAGGTTATGTACACACGCAGCACGGCCGACACGGCGGAGCCTGTGCCACGACGCTTCCAGCACCTGGCCTGCATCACAGTGCTTACGCCGCATCGCTTGCACGCCATAGCGCACCCCACCTATTGTTTGCACCACGTGTACTGCACCACGTAGCTTACGCAACACTGTCTGCCCCACATGCCTGGCACGTCCACCGTGCCAGAATTCGCGGTTTGGGGCCGACTCTGGTGAACATTCGTGTGACAGACAGACAAGTCGTCGGGGCCTGGCTTTCCTGGTTTTCGCCGTGGGGGCCCCCGGGGCCGCCTCCTGGCCACCCCGCGCGTGCTGGCTGGGTTGTTGTTTAAAATGTTTTCTCGCCCAGTGGGCGCCCAGGGCTTCCTCGTGGCCGCCCCGTGCGCGGGCTGGGTCTTTGGGGGTGTTCGCCCAGGGGGCGCGCTTTTCATGGGCGTCCCGCGCGTCTGCGGGCGCTTCTGGATGCACCCCCCGCACACTGCACCACATAGCAGGATCGAAGGAGTTGGCATCTCTTCCGCCGCGGAGGGCGGCGGAGGGTCAGTGGAAGCAAAGCGAGGCCGCCTCCGCCGGCCGAAGCGGGCGGAAGGCCGGCGGAAGGTGCCGGAAGTGAAACATGCGCCCCCGAGCATTGAAAACGTTTTTGAGGTCAGGGTTTCCGGATTCTGCCACATTTTGTCCCACATAAGTTGCCGGGCATGTATCGCACCACCTCTGTTGCCTTAGAGGATATGGGCAATGCAGGAATAGAGACGCAATTGTTGGCCAGCGTGGACCCGAAATGGCGCTGTGGAGGTGCCAGCTCTGCGGTGCAAGCTTTGGCATGTGGCATGTGAGCCATGCGGTCTGAGCTAACGTCGTGCACGGTACGTTGCGCGAGCTGGAGGTGAAACATCATGTTGTCTAAGCTATGCGGTGCACGTTTTCTGATGCAAGCTTTGTTGCGCAAGCTATGTGGTGTAAGCTAGGTCCTGCAAGCCCTGCGGTGTTGGCTACGCGGTGTAAGCTCATCGCCCGGGGCGCCCACGAGCGCCCTCGAGGCGGCACCAACCACGGCATGCACAGCGCACGGGGCGCCCGCGAGCGCCCACGACGCGGCAGGGGCGGCAACGTGGCGCAACCTCGGCAAACTCCCCCAGCGCACGGTACGCCGGCGAGCACTCCTGAGGCGGCACGGGCGGGAATTTGACGCAACCTCAGCAGCCCCCACCCCATGGGGGGGCGTCCACGAGCGCCCACGAGGCGGCACGTGCGGCGACGTGACGAATCCTCGGCGAACTCCCCAAGCGCACGTGGCGCCCACACGCGCCAATGAGGCGGCGAGGATGGCAACGTGGCGACCACCTAGAATACACAGACAACTGTTCAGACGAAACACTTATTAACACGTGAGCTCAAACAAGTCTTGGGGGATAGATGCACCTGTATTCAAACAAATAACGCAGATACTGCACCTCGCAGCTGGCAAAACCCCAAATACGACGCAGAGGTTGCACCCCAAATGCTACACATAACTGTGCGATAACTTACTGGTTTGAGCCCACGTTGGCGATCAAGACTTGTCTTACGATGTTTCTCGCCTCAGTTGATTGCATCTCCTTTGTGAGCACAGGCCGTCGCCAATGTTTCCCATGGTGGCACGTGGAGTTCGGACGCGAGCTCTCACTCCATTGATCGCTGTGTAGAGGAGCGCTGATCCTCACTCCGCTCCGTGCCTGTCCGGAGCCGCCGCGCCGCTCCTGGAACGAACCCCCCTCGCCCCCGCGCTCGCCATCGTCCTTCCCGCTTCTGAGCTGCAGCCGGCCTCCTGCGATCCCTGGGCGTGCGGCCACAGCATCCTTCTCACGAGCCGCAGCCGTGCAGCCGGCGCGCAGAAGACCACGCCGAGAAGCGCCGCAGCTCGCCGCGGACCTGCAGGGGCCCGCAGGGGCGGAGCGGGGTCCACGGTCGAGCGCGGAAGTGTGCAGTCCTGCCTGCGTGTTAGTGGGCTCCACCGAGCTCGCGGAGCCGACGAGGGGACGGCGCGCCAGAGAGCGGCGGCGGCGGCGGCCGCTTCCGCGGGCGCGGCCACGTGCCCCCTCTGTCCTCCTCCTCCTCCTCCTCCTCCTCCTCCTCCTCCTCCTCCTCCTCCTCCTCTACCTCCTCCTCCTCCTCCTCCTCCTCCTCCTCCTCCTCCTCCTCCTCCTCCTCCCTGGTTCCTGGTTTGTGCTCGTCGTCCTTCTCGCCCTCCTCCGCGCCGCTCGTGCGCGGGCACCCTGGACGCCAGCGCAGCAGGGCGGGTGGCTTCGGAGAGCTGCAGGTCACCAGCAGGCCGCGGGGGCGCGAGGGGTGGAGCTCTTCGCGTTTCGAGTCCTGGGCTGGCGAGTTGTGCTTCTCCATGCGGGCCGGCACGAGAGCGCAAAGATAGATCGCGCCTCGCGCAGCGCGAAGCGCGAGGTTAAGGCGGCCTGGGCGCAGATGTTCGTGCACGAGTTGTGGCGCCAAAGCCCCGGGCAGGTTGACTTTTTACCTCTTCAGAAGCGACACTGGATCGCGCTTCGTCTTGCCCACGAGCGTTTCCCCGCACTTCGCTTCCCACGCAGCGACTTCCCCAAACAGTGCCTGGCCCTGATGCCCAGCAAGGAGGCAGCATTTCTTGATAGCGATCCGATTTTTCAGAGTAGTATTGCGCACCCTCTCTTCCCCGTCATTCAAGGGCATAAAAAAAGCCCCGAGCCTGGTTTACGAGGCGATGTGCGCTGAAACTCCCGTGGGCTGACAGGGTAAACCCTGCGTGATGTGCCGCGTCCTGGCGGCTCTAGGCTTTAGAGGTTCCCAGGAGGTTTACAAACCACGCACTTGTAACCCAGGGTAGGGTCGTTTTTTTTCACCCCTCAATTCATACGTATCCCTCGCCTCCCCTTCTTCCCTTCGTTCGTTGGATGCCTAACCTGCCTGCCTCCCTCTCTCCTCCCCTCCCATACTCGGCACGCTGCCCATCATCGCCAACGTGGTGCCCCTCACCCTGACGGGCAGCTTCCTGGTGAAAAGGACTGCAGCCAGCGGCGGCCTTGCTCTGCTCTGGGATGTTCTCGCAGCGAGGACGAGGCCAAACATGCCAGCCGTATTTCTCAGTCGACGTGTTTGCCTGTATCGCCGCAGCGCGTCCATGCTTGGAGCGTAAACGTGCGTGGGATGCACAGGCTCGCATGCGCACGAACATACACTCGCAACGTGTACCTATCTTCGGACGCGCACAGACACACTCATATTTAAGTCGGCGGCGCAGAGGAGCCTCAGGCGCGTTCGGCAGGTGGAGGTGCCAATTGCGAACGATCTTAGTCGAACGCGCCATGATGAAAGAATCAAGCCACTGCCATGCAGATTGGTGGTGGAAAGAGAGGTGGAGTAACGCCAAGGTGTAGCGGCCAAAGAACCCACGGAGCGAACGCTCGACGCAGGAAGTTTGAAGCGCAACCAGCAGTCTGGTGTTAATTATAGCCTCAAGAGTCAACAGGCAACGGAAAATAATAGCAATTCTGCCAGACCAGCCATCTTGGTGGCGGTGGGTACACTCAGGGAGCTGCGCGACAAAGCAACGCCAAGGGTCTTGCAACGGGCACGAACCACAAAGCGACCGACAAACGCAGACACACACACACACACACACACACACACACACACACACACACACACGCACGCACGCACGCACGCACGCACGCACGCACGCACGCGCGCGCACACACACACACATACGCAGACGTGCCCTTGTCACCCACACTGATTGCGTCAACTCCGGGGTATGTTCAATGCTGTGCTTATGAAACGCAACTGGGTAGCGGGGCTTAGGCCGGGGGACGTGGGCACATGCTCCGTCTGGCTGTGGCCACTCCTGGGCGCTTCAAGGATACCCCAGGACGTTCCCCGCGCCACACAAGAAAGCTAAGCTTTCAGGCAGCACTAAAGGTCACCGTCAGGCCTCAATGGCAATCCGAAAGGCCCCAGAGACCACAAGACAGACCCACTGGAAACCACAAATCATTTTGTATTTCTTATGTCTTTTTGGCCCAAGATGGCACGGGGCGCTTCTGATCCTTTTGGGAAGGCCCGCCCCCTCCCACTTCCCCCCATGAGCTGGCCGCCGATGACTCGCATTGACCCTGCCGAGGGCAGAACACCCGCACCGGCATTCCCGTTACACCCTGGAAGGCATGCGCGTGGTCAGGGCTGTCCTACGCATGCCCACCCACGGACTTGTCGACAGCAGCCAACCAGCCCACCCGCATGACCCTGCAGCACTCCAGGCTCATGCCCGTGCGAATGCTCGCAGCAGCACACAGACCCCAGGGCCGCGACGGGGGTTGGGCTTCCGAGAAGGGTGGCGGGGCTGTTTGGAAGGCAGGTACCCCTCACGGCATTCTCTTTTGAGCGACACCAGGCCCAAGTTGGGCCTCGAGCCCGATTTGATCTGAGCTCGCAGTCCCAGCCCTGGCCGATGTCTGCGCACGTGGCACAGTAGACCGTGCCCCTTCGAGCCTCCAAGATGATTATGCACTCGGGGAGCCAGTCCAGACCCACGGCGGTCACGCATGACATGCGCTGTGATGGATGCACTTCCCGAGAAGGCACGTGGCGCGTTCCAGAAAGGGCTTCGCCTTCGAGGGGCCGAGGGAGTTGCTAGCTGTTCCTGGGCGGGCGGCTGGCGGAAGGCGGCGAGGACAACGTGGAGGCGGCTCCGCTGGCGGAAGCCAGCGGAAGGCCGGCCCCCCTCACCAGAGGGGGGGGGGGGGAGCCGGCCCCGCAGGTGCCACTCCCACAGGGGTGGGGTTGCGCGGGAGCGGGGCTGAGGCCAGTCCGGCCTGCCGCTCCGCGCCCGTTGTCCGTGCCTCGTTTCCGATTTTGAAACGCGCCGGGTCGTTTTCACGGTAGTGCTGGTGCCCCCGCTGAACTTCCGAGGCAAAGTGAGTCGCGTTGAAAGAGGAAGGCCGGCGGAAGCCGGCGGATGTAAAATACGCGTTGCGGCCTCCAGGCTCTGCGGGTGCAGAGCTGATGGCCCGTCCCCACGAGCGGCAGAGCGGCACAGCAGTGTGGGCTGTCAATTTGGGACGGTCTGCGGGGGGGGTCCTGGATCGCATGGGGACGAGGCGTTCGGAAAGGAGCACGAACAGGCGAGGTCCACGTCGAGTTGTTCGTGGTTCCGGGAGCGGTGACGGCCCATGCGAGAGCAAAGGACCCAAATCATTGCAGCGGCAGCTGCGGCAATAGGAGGGTGCGGCGGGGATGCGAGCGGACTTGCGCTGTCCCTGGGCACGTGGCAAGCGGGCTGTGGAGGGCGGCCGGGCGTCTCTGCCCGAATGTGTCTCATTCTTGTGGAGGACGATCAACGAAGTGGAAGCATGTTGCCAAATAGCTTCCAGATGAAAGTGTGTTCACATGTTTTAGGCATGTGGAAAAACATGGTTTCACCATATTGGTAACATTTCTCAAACATGTTGGGCACAATTCTACCTCACTGATAGGATTGTTAGGGTTTCCATTGTCATGGCATCCACACTCTAATTCTCGCCCCCCTCCGCAACCTGCCGGTCCGAGTGCGCAAGCGGATCCCGCCCGCTGGCGAAGGGCCCGCGACCCAGCTGCGGCCCAGCTGCGATCTGCTGCCTGCGGCCCGACCGCGATGCGACCCCCGACCGGCGGCCCGCCAGCCGCCTGCGACCGACCAGTGACTGGCCCTGCGATGCACCCGCGTCCCCGCCCCGCGACTCACCCGCGACCCGCCCCAAGGCTCACCAGCGACGCATTCCGCGACGCACCCGCGACCTGCACCGCGACCGGCATGACACAAGACTGGAAGAGATGGGCGACCGCGGCCTGCTGTGCAGCATTGGCCCCGGAGACAACTATTGTGTGCATCCTCACTCTTGTCCTCAACTGCTGGGGCCGATGTATTTGATGATTCAAGTGGCTTGCGGAGTAGAGACGTCCAAGGTGTTCGGTATCACGCTCGCGAGGATTCAGCTCTCAGGGGTCTCTTAGAGGGCTTGCGGGGGTATCTGGTTGGCTGTTTGGGGCCTCTTTGTGGCCTTGTGGGAGCCTTTTTGAGGTTTCTCGGGGGCCTCTTGGAGACTTTTTAGGGGCCTGGGGCGGGGAAAAGGGGGATGGTGACAGCCAAGTCTCTCACAGGCGGGGGTCGGCGGAGCGTGAAAGTCGAGGACCCAGAGTCTCTGGCGAGGCGTGTCAGAGCGATGCCGAGGAAATCAACGTTTGACCATATGATGAAGCACGACAAAATGGTGAGGGTGAGAAGTTGAGGCAAGGGGAGGGGGAAGATGATGAGGGGGAGGAAGTGGAGGAAGTGGAGGACAAGTTGTGAGGTAGAAGGCGATGAGGAGGACAGGAGAAAAAGGAGGAGGAGGTGGAGGCTGTGCGCCACTGTCGCATGCTTCGGCTGTCTTGGAACGATCTGGAGGGCTTGCGGAGCAGTCGTGGACGCTGTGAAGACCAAGATGGTGAGCACTCTGAAAATGTGCGTTTCCACAAGAGATTGGGGCGACTTGCGTTTACTATTGTGTGCACCCTCCCTCTTGTCCGCAGCTTCTATGGCCGATGTATTTGACTCCATGTTCGCCGTGATGACCAGGGGTCCTGAGGAAACCGGGTCCTGAGATGTTGCTCGCTGTTGTATGATTCTCGGGGCCCTCCTCGGGCCCCAGGGCCGTCAAAGAGCGGCTCGGGATGAAGAGATGGTCCCGGTGGAGGGCCCACCCCCTAGTCCAGGACCTGATTCCCTCAGGATGTTTTCTCCCATGCCGATACCTTCGCGCAGAGATGTGGGACAGCAGCTCGAAACCTTTGCCGAGCCCCGCCAAGGAACGATGGCCAGTTTTGGGTACGCGCTGGCCAGTTGATGGCCATGGTCACTGCGCTCGTGACCGTGGTGTTCTGGGCAGGTGCAGCGTGGGCTATCCAGGAATTGGCCGCGTGCTCGTCCATCAGATCTCTCTGTGGGATGTTTTGTTGTGTTCTCTATGTATGGGTATCTTCTCTCGCTATTTTTGTGTTCGTTTCTCTCTCCCTCTCTCTTTCTCTCTCTCTCTCTCTCTCTCTCTCTCTCTCTTTCTCTACTTAACTCTCCTCTCTCCATCTCAACATATGTATGCATATACTCACCTGGCAAAGCATACACAGTTGTATACACATACGTATGCCTGAGCACATTACGATTATCGGGCTCTGTCTCTTTCGCTCTCTTTCTTTCTCTCTCTCTCTCTCTCTTCGTCTCCCTCGTCTCTCTCTCTCTCTCTATGTCTATATTGCTCTCCCTCTATGTCTCTTCCTCTCCTCCCTGCCTGCCTACAGCACTTGTGTCTGCACCCGCATATAATTGCATATGTGTATGCATATGTACATATATATACACATAAGTGTGTTAGCCAATGCCGACCTCAATCACTGCGCTTTTAGTAATAGCTGTGGTGCTGTATACGTGGCGCAGATTTTGTTGCGCAACCTATGTATTGCAATTTATGTTGTTGATACATGTTTTGCAACATGGGCAATGCAACCTTGCGTTTTGCAGTCAATTGGATTGCAAGCGATTGGATTGCAATCGATTTGATTGTAAGTAAAGGGGGTGCAACGGGGCGGGGCCATGGGCGTCGACGAGGCTGCGACGCGGCAGTGACTGTGGCAACAAGGCGGCAGACCGGACAAACGAGCCCAGACGACGAGCGGCGACGAGGCGGCGACGGGGCGGCGACGGGGCGGCGACGACGGCAACAGGGCGATGGATCCGACCAACGAGCCCAGACGACGGGCCGCGACGAGGCGGCGACGGGGCGGCGACGGCGGCAACAAGGCGGCGGTCCCTGCAAATGATTGTTCCCTACCTAGGCTCTGTCTAGAAGGGTTCTTACCCTCTGTGCTTAAAGGGCCGGGCAGTGCTACCCGCCCCGGGCGGTTCCCCCAGTATCCGCCCCGCGTTTCCCCCGGCTGCGTCCCCTTAGCTTAGCGTTGCTTATCTCATCTTAGCTTAGCCTAGCTTAGCTTAGCTTTGCTTAGCCTAGCCTAGCCTAGCTTAGCTTAGCTTAGCTTAGCTCAGCTTGGTTTAGCTTAGCGTAGCGCAGAATTAGCATAGCATAGCATAGCATAGCGCAGCATAGCATAGCGCAGCATAGCATAGCATAGTGTAGCGCAGCATAGCGCAGCATAGCGCAGCATAGCATAGCATAGCATACCATAGCATAGCACAGTTCAGTATAACATAGCATGTCATATCATAACATAGTATAGCATAGCATAACATAGCGCAGCATAGCATAGCATAGCATAGCATATCATTGCATAGCGCAGCATACCATAGCATAGCATAGTGTGGCTGTGCGCAGGCAAAGCAACAACAACATCAAGCAACAGCAACCACAAAGGCAAAGCAAACGCAACAGCAAACGCAACAGCAAAAGCAACGGCAAGACAACGCAACGCGAAAGCGAAACAAATGCGACAGTGTAGATGTAGATGTCGATGTAGGTGTAGGTGTATATGTGGATGTAGGTGTAGGTGTAGATGTAGATGTAGTTGTAGGTGTAGGTGCATATTCTCGCTGTTGATGTAGATGTAGATGCAGGTGTAGATGTGAATGTAGCTGCCGGTGTAGATGTAGATGTTGCTTTCCTAGATGTTCCAACTCCTACGTAGGGTCGCACTGGGATAATGTTTGATGAGAAGACAAGTAAGAACCCCTTAGTGCACACACTGTTTGGGCAGTCACTGTATTGTATATGTATACACATGTGTGAATGCAGATATCTGAATATACACGTTTATGTGCCTATACATTCACAGGTATACATATGTTCACACTCGTTGTATATACCGTTTCTGGTCAACTATGACTAACACATGTGCCTCTAGTTGCCTCGTCCATCTTTACCTACTTCTCCCTGCATGGCCACCCACGGATATGCAACGGAAGTCCCAACAAGGCAAGGCAACGTTGAGCCAGGCGAGGCGAGGCAGAGCTATGCAAGGCCAGGGTAGAGGCAACACGGGGAGCACGAGTCGAGGCGAGGTTGCGCAACGACGGCGGCACGAAACGGCAACAAGGAGAGTCAAGGCTAACAAAGATAGGCGGCGCGAGGAAAGGCGCGAATGGCTGATCTTGGCGCAGAACTATCCAGGCACGTTCCATACAGTTAGCCGAGAAACGCGACCCAGCGCCCGATGAGTAGAATATCGAGCCGACTGCAACACCTGATTGCCAACGTTGGGGATGGAAGACGGGAAGGACGAATTGTGCTATTTTTGCAGGCGAGGTAAAGCCACTTTGCACCTCTTCAGATTTGCGTGTGTGTGTGTGTCCACGTGTTCAACAACCGGAAGGGGAGCCCCGTGGAAAGAATCAGGGAAGGTAGCGACGAGCGGCAAACTGTCAACGGTCGAAGGCGAGACGACGGAAGAAAACGAGACAACGGACGAGGACGTGTTGTCGAACCATGACCCCCTTGGACCGGATCATGCATCTTCGAAGTACATTTGCCCATCCTTGCCACCGAGCGGGGACAGACCGAGAAGTGTTGTTACCAAGTCGCTCCAACCAAGGGGTACGTATGGGGAGGAGAGCGCGAAGGAGGAGAGAGGAGGGCGACAGAGAGGTGGACCGCGAGGAGGAGGAGGAGGAGGAGGAGGAGGAGGAGGAGGAGGAGGAGGAGGGGGGAGGAGGAGGAGGAGGAGGAGGGGGAGGGGGAGGAGGGGGAGGAGAAGGTGGAGGAGAGGAGCAGGAAGTGAAAGACGACCAGGAGCACGGACGAGGGCAAGGGACGACGGAGCGGGCGAGGACGGGGAGGGGGTGGAGGAGGAGGAGGAGGAGGAGAAAAATGAGGAGGAGGAGGAGGAGGAGGAGGACCAGACAGGGACCGAGACGGGGGCGCGGCGGGACGACGGCGACGACGGGCACCGCCGCCGCCGCCGCCGCTGCCCCGCTCCGAGGCGGCGCCCTTCTGCTGCTCCGCGGGGGCCATGTGCGCCCGCCCCGCGGCCGCGGCCGCGCCCGTCCTCCGCCGCGGCGCCGCCCTCCGTGGGGCCGGCGCGCGGCGGGCGGCGGGCGCCCCGCCGCCCAGGGGCGCCGCGCCGGCGCAGGAGCGCCCTGCGCGCGAGAGGGGCCTTGCCCGGGGCAGCGCCGGGGGCGGGCTCCTCCTGCTCGTCCTCGTCTTGCTCCTCCTCCTCCTCCTCCTCCTCCTCCTCCTCCTCCTCCTCGTCCAGCTCCTCCTCGGCCTCCTTCTCCTCCTCGTCCTCCTACTCCTCCTCCTCGTCCTCGTCCTCGTCCTCCGGCTCCAGGGGGCGGACCCCGGATCGCCAATTCAGCGCCGATGGGGGCCCGATGGCCCTAAGCCGCCGAGGGAAGTGCGGATTCGCTAGGGGTAGCCTGCCCCATCGCCTGCATGAAGGCGATGTATCGCCGATTCCAGGTCGATTCCCCCCCCCAACGTTGCCCCTCAACCCTTCGCCAGAGTGGCCTTTGTTGCGGCGGGCCCACGGGGGTCCTCTGATCGCTGGATGCGTCGCGAAAGGAGGGGGGATCTGCCACGCGCAGAGGGGGGCAGGGCAAGCTAAGCGCGCTCCCGCCTCATCGGACATCCTATCCCTCCCTTCCACCAATTCCCATGGCACGAACGCGAATGCGTGTCGTAGCCGACCTGCGACTCACACAGAAAGACCACTTCGTGTTATGCCCAATCGGAAGATGAGGACCTGTGTGCACATGAAGCGGAGGTGGCGGGCGAGCAGAATGATGAGCGGCAGGAAAAGGATGAGGACGAAGAGCCGAAGCAGGAACTACAGCAGAAGGATCGGAGGGGAAAGGAGGACCAGGGGAAGGCGGAGGAGGGGAAAGGAGGGGGGCGACAACGGTGACGAGAGAGACTCGGATCCAGAAAAGCAGCTTGCGCTGGGGCGAGGCGAATAGCCGCAGCATCAGGAACTGGCGTGGAAGGAGCGGGAGGAACAGGAGGGCCCAGGGGAAGTCGGAGGGGGGGGGGGGGACAGCCTGGGGGGGGGACCACCACGAAGCAAAAGACCCGGATGCAGCAAAGTGGCCCGCGCTGGGGGCCAGAGCGCCATGCTGAACGACGGGGGCAGCGCGCCGATCCCAAGCGTGAGGCCCGAGCAGCAGCGGGAGCACCCGTCTGAGACAGCGGGAGCACCTTGGGCGGACGAAAAGCCATATCGCAAACCATGTGTTGAATTCCTGTGTGCGTGTGTGTGCGTTTGCTTGTGTAGTTTGTTTGTTTGGTCGTGTGTGCGTGCGTGCGTGTGCGTGTGCGTGTGCGTGTGCGTGTGCGTGTGCGCGTGTGTGTGCGTGTGCGCGTGTGTGCGTGTGTGCGTGTGTGCGTGTGTGCGTGTGTGCGTGTGTGCGTGTGTGCGTGTGTGCGTGTGCGTGCGCGCGTGCGCGTGCGCGTGCGCGTGCGTGTGCGTGTGCGTGTGCGTGTGCGTGTGCGTGTGCGTGTGCGTTTGCGTGTGCGTGCGTGCGTGCGGGCGGGCGGGCGGGCGGGCGTGTGTGCGTGCGTGTGTTCGTGTGACAAACAGCACGCGGAGGGGGCAGGAGATCCCCCGGGACAACTTCAGGGGAGGAGGGAGGGTAGTATTCATACTGTGAAACTGTGGAAGGGGGGGGGCAGGCTTCGTGGAAGCACCCCTGCTTCTGAGAAGGCGCGGGCCTCATCAACAGATGAAGGGCCGGCGCCTTCTCAGAAGCAGCCTCCCTCCCAAGAAGCTTTTCGCCCACCCCCTTCCCCCCCCGGTGCGCACCGCCGAGGGGGGCCCAGAGGGAGGGGGGTCCGAAGTCTGTTGCGCCTGGGGGCACGTGAGCTGATTCGCTCCCCCTCCCACCAGGGCGAACGACATGGGTACGGAAACACTGGGTGCAGAGTCCAAGAGCCTCTCTTATTCATTCCGAGCAGGGTTCGCGGTCGGCGTCGCCGCGGTCGTTGCCCATTTGAGACAGAAGGCCGCCTGCCCATGAGCAGCCGCTGTGGGTTTTTGAGAAAATCTGTTGTTGGGCATCGTGCCCATTTCCCGCGTATCCCCTTCCAGGCGTCCAGGTCCAGTTTGCTCGGCTACGCGTACGGGTGACCCTTCGCCGGAGTGACCTTGGTGTGGGCCCACGAGGGTCCCCCCAGCATCGGCTGGCGCGCTTGGAGCCGGCCTTCCCGCGGCTCCTTGCAACCGCGCGCCGAAGGTCACTCGTGCCGAGGGCCTAGGGCCACTCCTGCGCGCAAGCAAGCACAGGATGTTTGCGCGCCGGCTGACCGTCATCGTGGAGAACCTCGGGTGGAAGGGCGGCGACTTCGAGCACGGCGGCGAGTGGTTCGGCGCGGGCGGCTGGCTGGGAAAGCGGGTGGAGCGGCTCTGCGAGGAGCAGACCGCGCTGGAGTTCGAGAGCCAGGCCTTCCAGGGCGCCGTCGGGGCGGGCCACTGATCGCCATGGAGGGCACGGATCCTGAGGGCAACGGGTCCTAAGTCTGCCGGCCGTCTTCGGGCCCCTGCAGGGGGCCCGCCGCAGGTCCCAGGACTACATGGCAGAGGACGGCTCAGGAGAAGACCTGGTCCCGGGGCGAGCGCCTGGCCCCGGATCCGAGGCCCGTTTCCGTCAGGACCTGTGTCCTCGGTGCCAGCTTGAGCATCGCCCGCCGGTCGGGGCCAGGGCTTTGTGGGCCCCAGAAACGCCAGGGTCGTTTTTTTCACCGTTTCCAAAAAAATGTCTTTTGAACATGGAAACGGCAAAAAAAACGGCGACCGGAAACGGCGAAAAAACGGCACCAGGATTGGAGCTGGGGCCGGAGCCGGTCAAAAAACGGCGTCGGAACCGGTAAAAAAACGCAAAAAGGAACCAGTAAAAAAACGGCCCTGTCGTTTCCAGGGCCCACTAAGGGCCAGGGGCCCCGCACACGAGGGTTTCGCCATCGGGGGCTTACGTACTGCTGATCTACGGGCGATGCAGCGCCGATCCTGGGCCATGCCCCTCTCGCCCTGGGCCAGTTTCCCCCCTCCCTTTCCGCAGACCTCCGTCGTCGTGAGTTTCTCGTAGCGCGCGCCCCGGGATTTCTGGACCCCTTTCCCAGGACTGACCTCTCATCCTCATGGTCGCCCTGTGAGGGCCTCGGGGCGTGGTGAGGGCCCCAGATCCCAGGCAACGATCAGCAGCCTTCCGCCGTTCCCTGGCATCGCTCGGACGTGTGCATTTTTCCTTCGGCGAGGGCCATCGAGGAGCATCCTTGACCATTTGGCGAAACAACCACGCACGAAACCGAAAAAAAAACACAAAAAATGGACGTCCGAGCGATGGCGAGTGCCCACGGCGCGAGAGGAGGCTTGGCGTTCGGGCCAAGACCCGGGCCTCGCGCGGCCGATCGGGGCGATCCGGGCACCCAGGGAGAGCGCCTCGACGCGAGGCGCGGCTGCTGGCAGGCCCCAGGCGGCGAGGAACTTTTCCCAGAGATGGTCGCGCCGTTCAAAACTTCAGGACGGGGAGTTTGTGGCCAATGTCGGCCTCGGGGAACCCTCGCCGGGCCTCGGGACCGTCAAACAAACGACTCGGGACGAAGAACGGGTCCCGGGGAACGGGTCGGGACTTCCAGGGACCCCGTATTGACAAAAAAGCAGGGCGTCGCTTTTCCTGGGTTCGGAAGCGCTGCAGAACACCCCCAGAATTCCTCCAGGCATACTTTCACGGGGCTTCTGGCTACGTCCACTTCCACAACGAGGACCACTCGCGCTTCCTCGTGCTGGTCTTCAGCTCGGGCAGTGCCAAGGGGCATGAGATCTAGATTCCAGGATCGACGCTCGATGCGTTTTTGTTGGACGCATGGCGTCGTTTGACACGGGGCTTCTCGAGGAGGTGGCCAGCCTCCTGGTGTGAAGTCGACCCTGTCCCTCTACAGGACGAATCTGCAAAAATAAATGTGCAATAGTCTTGGGACGAGTTCCGTTTTTATGTGTTGTCAAGTGTTGGTATATTGCTGGCTACTTCTCCGCCCAAATCCGCCAGTGTAGGAGGACATGCCCGACCTGATCCTGCAGTGCCGTTTTTAATACATGTCCGCGTGCGGATCATGTATTAGAAATGCAGGGACTTAGTATTAAAAACAACGGGGAGTTCATGCATACATTTATTCATACATTAATAACGTATACAAAATCCTATACTTAAGCAATCCGATGTGTTTGTTAAAACTGCCCTGTAGTACCTTGTGCCCCCCCCTGGCATTGCCCCGTCAGCTGCACGCTCTCTGGCGGCTGCCGCTTCACGGCCCGCGCCGGCCGCCTGCTGCCCGACTGCCCGGCGCTGCTGGAGCGCGCCCCGGCTGCGGCGGAGCCCGGCTCCGGCCTGTGCCGCGCGGGCGGGTGCGCCTGGGAGATGCTCGAGCGGCGGGAGGACCGGGGCCGGGCGCATCGAATAGTGTCTCAGAGGAGGAAGAGGCACCCATACCTCTACCCTCTCATCGTGTTTCCCCCTTCTTTGGGGCCTTCTCGGAGGCCCTCGTCGCCACCGCTGGATTCGCGCCGGAATCCTGGTCAGAACGCACCCCGGGAGAGGTTTGGGGAGCAGCGGTATCGGTACCTTTTTTGTCTCCCCAGTTTCGGGTCTCAATAGGACGGGGGCCAATGCAAGCGGGGGTCAGTCGGTGCGCCGGATCTTGCACGATCCTGCAGAGCCAGGGTCACAGTGACCCGGCTCGGGTGCAGGATCCTGCAAGATCCTGCAGGATTTTGTGGGATCCTGCAGGGCCTAGCTGACCCGGGTCTGGACTGACCTGGGTCAGTGGATCCCCGAGAATTGCGAGAAAGCGGCACAAGCATAAACGTTTGGCGGTTTGCGCGGGGTTCTTGGACTGCGCTAGGCCCGTCTGGCGGCTCCCCGTCCGCGCCTATCCAAGAAATCCGCACGGACCCTCAATAGATCGTGCGTGTTCCCTAGGTCGGTTTGCCTGAGGGGTTATTACTTGGTCACAGGTTGGTTCCTCGGGGAGCTACTTTGCCCGTTGCTCGGAGGTTCCCTGGGGTTCCTCGGGTTCCCCGCCGCCAGTGCCTCGGGGGGTTACTTTGCCAGTTGGTCAGAGGTTCCTCGGGTTCCTCGGGTTCCTTGTTGTTCGGAGGTTCCTTGGGTTCATCAGGTTTCAATATCAAGCAGTGCCACACAACGCCACGAAATGCCACAAATCCAAGCAATGGCAAGCAATACCAAGCAATGCCACACGTGTGACACAGTACAAACGCAATGCCAAGCAATGCCAAGAAATGCCAAGCAATGCCAGGCACTGCGCCCATGCAGCAGGAAGCTCTGCCCTAGTTGGGGTCGCGCCAGACTTATGTTGCGGCAGTCATTAGGGGAAGGGGATGTTCTGGCATGTCTTCTCAACGCCACCTCTCGCTACGAAGGAATGACGACAGGAGGCGGTTGGTAGTTTTCGGCCTCTGGGGGCCCTCATCGGGCTCCGGGCCGGTCTACAAAGAGGTTCGGGAATTAGGTGGTCCGAGCGTGGTGATGTCAGGGGCAAGGTGGGAGGGGAGATGGGCTCCCTCGGGGCGGATGCACCGACCCCCCAATGGCCCACTCGGCGCCGATGCTTGGGGGCCCGCTTCCCCCCCCGGCTCCCTGGGACATGCGGACTGGAAAAGGGGCGGGGCTCGCACGGGTGGCGGAACCTCCTTCGAAGAAGCCCTCCCTCCTTGTGCCCTCCTTCGAAGAAGCCCTCCTTGTGCGCGCCGCCAACTATTTGTTCCGGACGTTTTCGTCGGTCCCAGGCGGTTTTCCAGACTCTGTGTGCTTTCCAGCAGCTGTGCCTCGCCGAGAGCGTTCTGGGGGCGCCCGGGTCGTCCTGCGAGCGGCCGCCGGAGGCTTGAATTACGGCCCAGAAGCCCAGACCATGAGGAGCATTCTGGTGGGACGACAGGGGGGGATCTCCAGAACGGGAGGGGGCGTACACACGCGCTTACACACGCGTGTGCGAAGTCTGGTGCGTACACACGCGGCCGGTCTTCGACTTGCGGCCGGGCGCTCTTCTCGATGGCCGTTGGCGCCCCAGCCCCTCCTCCTCGGCTGCGCGCGCGGAGTGGCCCTTCGCCGCAGTGACCCCTGCTGTGGGCCCGCAGGGGTCCCCGCGGCCCTTGCCGGCGCGCTCGGGCTTCGCTCGCCGCGGCCCCGTGGGGCCGCGCACCGGAGGCCACGCTTGCCCGGGACCACTCCTGGCGTTATTCGCCGAGCGCACTGACTCGCTAGGTGGAGGGAGGAGGGAGGAGGAGGAGGAGGAGGAGAAGGAGGAGGAGGAGGAGGAGGAGCAGGAGGAAGAGGCTAGGAGAAGGACGGGGAAGAAGAGGCTAGGAGGAGGAAGAGGAGGAGGAGGAGGAGAAGGAGGAGGAGGAGGCTAGGAGTAGGAGGAAGAGTATGTGAGGAGGAGGAGGAGGAGGAGGAGGAGGAGGAGGAGGTTCGAGGAGGTTGGAGGAGGAGGACGCGAAGGAGGAGGACTCCTGTCGTCCGACCCGCGAGGACGGCTCCGCCGTGCTGCGCTGCGTCGTGCTGCCCGCGCGGGGCTCGGCGGGGCTGCACGAGGAGCTGCACAGGCCCGGGGGGGGCCTTGACACAGGGGGTCACTGCAGGCGTCGAGGCCAAAGGCGGGCCTGGCCCTCTGAAGGAGGAGTACAGTCGGGTCCCTGAAGAAGGAACCCTTTTCGTTGGGGAGGGGCTCCGTGTTCCTTAATTGTTTCACAGCTTGCCTCAGGTTTTCCTTATGTTTTCGATGGGAAATCGAAGTCTAACTTATGGGAAAAAGGGGCCTCGTTCCTTATTTAGGGTTCCTTAGGTCAAGGCCCCGGCTGTAGTCAAAGCATAGTCTTGGGACGATTGTTCGACCATATTTTGAGATTGTTTGGCGTACTCTTGTGGTGTTTTTAGTCTTCGTCCAAGATCCGCCTGTACGGGGACATGCCCGACCTAAATCTAGGCCTCCTAGATGGGGTCGGAGTAGATGGGGTCGGAGTAGATGGGGTCGGAGGATCGCACAGCATCGCCGATGCACCGGGGATGCGGCGCGATGTGGAGCCCGAGTTTCTCCACGCCGGCGTTGCCAGTGCATCACCGACGATGCCGGTGCCTCGCCGATACATCGCCGATGCATCGGCGATGCATCGGCGATGCGGCGCGATCTTCCGACCACATCTACTCCGACACCACCTAGGAGGCTTCTAAAGCGGGGGTCAGCCAGAGCGCCCGATCTTGCAGGATCCTACCCAGGCTAGCGCGCAGGATCCTGCAAGCTTGAGACGGCGGTCATTGCAAACGGGGGTCAGCCAGAGCGCCAGATCTTGCGGGATCCTACCCAGGCTAGCACGCAGGATCCTGCAGTCTTGAGACGGCGGTCATTGCAAAGGGGGTGAGCCAGAGCGCTGGATCGTGCAGGATCCTACCTGGGCTAGCGCGCAGGATCCTGTAGGGCCTGACTGACACGGGTTCGCACTGACCTGGGTCAGTAGATCCCCGAACAGGGAGCTCGTGCTGCGGCTGGACAAGGCGCCGCCGTGCGAGTCGACGGTGGGCGAGGAGGTCGTCAGGGGTAACTAACCTCAGGAGGGTGGATCCAGAAAACATCGCGTCGTGAAAAGAAAGCCAGCGGAGGTTTCTCACTATGTTCGGCCTCTGCAGCCCTCGACGGGCCTCAGGGCCGTCCAAAAACGACTCAGGATGAGAAGCCGGTCCTTGGGAATGGGTCGAGACCTTTGGAGGTCGTCGCTATGAGAAAACGTGACGTCGGGGGTGTGCCCAATCGTCCGTGCATCCCCGATAGGGCCCGATGGCCCGCCCCGTCAAGGGGCATGTGTATTCGCTATCGGGGGCCCATCGCCGATCTACTGGGGATGTATCTCCGATTCCAGCACGATGTCCCCTCCCCTTCTTGAGCCAGTACCCCTCCTATCGTTGTCTCCCAGGTCGAGGCATCAGAGGATAGCTCGCACGACTCTCCGGGAAGGTGCTTTGTCATCGAGGTCCAGAACCGGTTTGAGGACCCGAGGCAGGGATTGATCCATGACCACAGCCTGGGAGAGCGACCCGACCTTCAGGGACTTAAGGGGTTGTTGATGCCGATGCATGTGGGCCCCACGGGGGCCAGGCAGATCTATATCCACCGCTTGCTGGAGACCCTGAAGATCGATCGCCCTGACAGCGGTTCTCCCTGAGGTCTGACGTTGCCAAAAGTGTATGAAAAATCACCAGACAGAATACCGGACCCCATCTGTCTGCGCCACCATTTTTTGAGCCTGATCGATATGTGAGGGCCCCAGCGCTCGAAACGAGGCAACATACCCCGCTCTGAGAAAACCGCAACGCCAGGATCTGAGGGATGGATACGGTCGGGCCGAGGCATCAGATCGCGGTCGGTGCGGGGAGGGTGCCCTGATGCTCTGTTCTTCGCGTCTGTCAGGATGCTCTTGCGCATCCTGGGGAAGGGCACCCTCGGTGATCTCATGGCTTGGTTTTTTTTTTTTGTTCGGCCCGCGGAGGGCCTCGTGTTATTGAACAGTGGTCCTCTGTCTTAGTCGGGTATGGCCAGGACCCCAGGTAAGGGGACCCGGTTAGCGGTAGGGCCCCGGAGCCCTCGAATTGGCCAGAATCACTAAACCAGGTTTGCCATAGCTGGTGATTTTTCGGATGACGGCAGTTCGGGTTAGTGGAGATGGGACGGGGGGGCGCCCCCGGTGCAGATCACTAAACCAGGTTCCACTGAACCCAATTCCACCAACGCCCGACTTAGGCCCGACCTTCGGCCCCCGCCTCGCAGAGGAGGACTTCTGCCTGGACGGCGCGTGGTTCGACGCCGGGCGCTGGTCGGCGGCGCCGCCGCCGCGGCTCCGGGCGGGCGGCGTCTCGCGGCTGGTGCTCTCGAGCGACGCGCTTCTCGGCAGCGTCAGCGGCCTCTGCTGGTACTCGGCGGAGAACGCCGACCCAGAGATCCGACGCTCCGAGAAGGTTGGAGCGGCGGGTCGATGGCCGCTTCCGGCCTCCAGGGGCCCCCGCTGGGCCTCGGGACCGTCAAGGGACGAGTCATGGGGCGAAACATCGGGCCCCGGGGAAGTGGTCCAGACCGCTGGAGCCCACGCATCAAAAGATTTGAGCAGCCGGATGTCTGGGGACATGGGCGACGGGTCCCGTTTCTCTGCAGAATCGGCGCGCGTTGTCGCCAAATGAGCCGGCACTGTCCTCACGTGTCAGGGGTAGCTACCCTCCCCGATCCATGGATCTGGCGCCCACGCACCAGATGCCCAGATCAATAGCCCATGTCCGCGTGCGCCCGAGGTACGTGAACGAGCAGAGCCGCGACGTGTACTTCAGCGTGGTCTTCAGCTCGAGGCAGGAAAAACGGCACGAGCCTAAACTTTGGAGGGTCCACGCGGATTTCTTGGATGTGCGTTGGGCCCCTTCTGGACCTCCTAGATGGGGTCGGAGTAGATAGAGTCGGAGGACCGCTCCACATCGTCGATGCGTCAGCGATGCGGCTCGATGTGGAGCCCGATTTTCCCACGCCCGAGACGCGGATGCGTCGCCGACGTCGCCGATGCATCGCCGATGCATCGCCGATACATCTGCGATGCATTAGCGATGCCGCGCGATCCTTCGACTCCGACCCCATCTACTCGGACCCCATTCAGGAGGCCTGTCCACGCGGAGTTCCTTGGATATGCGTTGGCCCCCCCGAAAGTTGATGTTCAGGCAGTTGTTCCTGCTTCTGTCAGCTGCTCCCTCACGTCGAGCTCCTTCACCGCGTGGGCCGGGCCTCCCCCCGCGGAGTTGTGCCCGGGGCCACAGCAAAAATTGCAGCATCATAAAGATCAGACCTCGACCAGAGCTTCAGAGCCCACCATTCTGCGACGCGTTTCGAAGCATCGGCTTCACCCCAACATTCTAGTATGATGTGCGCGTCTCCTCCTCAGGGGCGACGCGCTTACCGAGAAATCTTACAGTACATGCGTCGTGGCGGGCGCTTTCTGGCCACACCCCTCGGGAAAATCTCTGCGGCCACACTGCTCGGGGAAATCTCTGCGACAAGATGGGTCGACACTCCCGCGCCGCCATTGGGCGAGTGGGGGGACAGGCGCCGCCAGACGGGACCCGACTGGAATCCATCAAGGGCCCGTCTGACAGGAGGGCCAACCCAGCAAACAATAGAGGGTGGACTAGGGTGGGTCTCGAACGCAGCGACGGCGACGAGGAGCGGCAGCAACCAGCGAAGAGGAACCCCAGCTGAGCGCCTCTCCGTCTAACGAGAGGTTGTCCTGGCCTGCGGGAGCTCCTGCTCGGTCCTGTGGAGGCTGCTCCCAGTCCTGCAGGTGAGAATCAGCGACCAACCAACCAACCAGGTGGGGACGAGCCCACGTTGACGCGCCACGTCACCTGCGGCACGCCCATTGCCAAGCGAACCAACCAACCAACCAAGGCAGAGAGAGAGGACGAGATACGCCTGCTGCAGCGGAGCACTCGGCAGTGAGGATGGAAATGCCAGATGGCCAAATATGCCACAAGGCGCAGAGCCCAAGAGGCAAGCGACAGTTCGTTCTGGGGATTCTCCTGTCCCCCAAATCGCTACGCGATTTGGAGGCTATGCAACGATATACTACAAGATGAGTGTATTCGATGTTCGGGACGGACGCGCGCCTCCAAGGAGGACATATAGTACTAGTACGTCTCTGCGCGTCCCAAAGCAAGGCAACATCGCTTGGCGCCGTTAAGCATAATACAGACCCTAAGCCTAATAACACAATGAATTCGTGGCCGAGCACTGGTCTACGATTTTCAAGGAGATCCCGGAACAGTTGGGTGGTTTCGTCTGGTGCATCAGCAGAAGAGGCCTTCCATCCTTGATGATTTTGCCCTCCTAGTTCAGGTCCCCTCCCGAAGGGGGTAGGGGTACTTGTGTTGCTTTTCGCTGTGTGCTCACAACTTGATACCGAGGTACCACGAGCTTCAGGTCGCCCCTTCGCTTCGCCGCGACGCGGGCGTGCAGCTACCGGCCGGGCACGGGGTGGCCTGGAATTGCTTCTTCGAGAGCAGCGCCGCCGTCCACGTCAAGGTGGTCGTATTCCAGGACCCCTCAGGGCCTGACGACGTTTCGGTCATCGACTCGTGGGGATCAGGCTGGATACATCGAGGTGAGAGCAGGTAAATCGAGGCACGCCCTTGATACATCGAGGGGCGTCCGGGTACATCTGGAGATCTCCAGGGAGCTCTGGAGCAAACAGTGGGGGGACAGCAGAGGTCGTTGAGCTTTAACGACAGGAGCTCGGGTGCATGGACCCGCTCGCGTTCCCGCCCGCCGAGGCGCGCCAGGCTTGGCTCGGGGGGGGGGAGGGCGGGCGGCGGAGGGATGATCAGAGGTGGCCAGGGCATGCGGAGGCCGTTGCTCGTCCTGGAGAGTCCTCGTCGCCACGGCCAGATTCTCCGTGAGATTCTGGTAAGAGCCTTACGCGCGAGAAGCCATGGAACGGCCAGGTCTTTCTCCGTGCCGCCTGGCCGGCGGCGAGGAGCTCGCGCGGCCGATGTGGTCGAGAGCTCTGGGGCCTCCGCGCGCCCGAAGAGGTCGCCGCGCCGGAGGTGTGGGAGCGGAGGAAGAAGAAGAAGAAGAAGAAGAAGAAGGAGGAGGAGGAGGAGGAGGAGAAGTGGGGGAGGAGGAGAAGTTTCGAGAAGTGCTTCTCAGCTTCTTAGCCATGGCTAAGAAGCTGAGAAGCTGTAGGCTGGCTAGCCAGCCTACAGCTCGAATGAAGCAGAGAAACAGATCATCACCCCAGAAGAAAAAATTGCAGAGTACGAATCGTTCTTTGGTTCCAGCTGTGGGAGCGATGGGGGAGCGAGGGCCGCCCCGGGACAGACGCCGCGAGAGGCTCCCGAGCCCGCCGTCCTCGGCGAGGTGCCAGGCTCCACCGCCCTGGCGAACCCTCAGCAGGTGGCCCAGGCGCCGCGGGGGGGGCTCCCGACGACGGCGACGACGGCGGCGACGACGACGAGTTAATGAAGGCGACGGCGGCGACGACGGCGACGACGGCGACAGCGACGACAACGACGGCGAGGGCGGTGACGACGACGACGACGACGACGGCGACGGTGGCGGCGACGGCGACGAAAGCGGCGGCAAAGATGGCGCTACGGCGACAGCGACGCCAGCAGTGGCCAGAGCATGTTCCAAAGAGCAGCCGCGACGCGAGGATCTTGGCACTTGGCACTTGGCCTGGCCCAGTCCCCGACACCTGAGGCCATGAAAAAGAAGCCACCGCGCTGTCCGAGAGTCACGGCCGGAGCTTTCGACCTGACCTTGATTTGGGCGCTGACCGAAATCAGAGTGAGGGGGCCCAGCGGTCTTACACCATCCCCGGGTGCGTGGGTGAAGTGGGATTCTGTGGCTCTGAGTATGTTTTTGTTTTGTTGTCGTCGTCCCCCCCCCCGTGAGCCACCCGCGACTCAGCCTGCGACCACAACCAGTTGATTTCTTTCATAATGAGGATCATGTGGTCTGCGTGTTTTGGAGTAGCGCTCCGAATTCTGCCCATCAGGTGCCCCAGATGAGCCTACGCGCGATCGCGTTCCCTGGGCTCCCCACATTCTTCGTCGATCTTTGAAAGCCCTACTGGATTCCGACGGGGGTAGGACGAGGATATGTCCGTCCGTTCCAGAAGGTTCCGGAACGCTCTCAGGGCGTTCCTGAACGCTCTGCGGAGGCCGCGGCACCCGAGCCGTCCTCCAGAGCCGCCAGATCTCAGAGATTCTCGATCTGTTCCCACCCGATGTTGCCCTCGTCCTTGCTTCGTCTTCGAAATAACCAAGGTGCCCCAGAGCTTCGTGGGGCCGTGGAGCCATGGGGGGATCAGAATTTTTGTCCGCGGGGTCCCTGCGGGGTGGCCGACCTCCGAGCTCGTGCGCCTGCTGCAAAGCCTTCCGGCGCGCACGCCGGGAGTTCTCGAGCCAGGTCCTTGCCCGGACGGCCCCGGGGCCCGGAAGCGGAGCGGCCAAGGCCCGTGGCTGACCCTGCGCGCAGCCGCTGGCACGTCGGGGGAGGCGGCGGAGGATGAGGAGGAAGAGGAGGAGGAGGAGGAGGAGGAGGAGGAGGAGGAGGACCCATTGGACTGTGACCCATTGGGTTGGTTCCCGCGTATACGCGGCGCTCCTCCCTTCTGCGAGCGCCCGCGACCTATAGGCCCTATGGGTCGTCGCAGCCAGGAAGGCCCCGCAGGTAGCGCCTGTAGGCGCTGCCGTTGGGGAGCGCGGATGCCTTTAGGCAGGGAGGGCCTTTAGGCGCGCCTGTAGGCGAGGAGGGCCTGTAGGCGTGCCTATAGGCAGGGGCGCCTGTAGGCGGTGTGTGTGTGGGGGGAGGGCCTGTAGGCGTGCCTGTAGGCAGGGAGAAAGGGAAAAAAGGGGGGGGGAGAGAGGGGAAGAGAGGGGGTGCGTGCCTGTAGGCAGGGAGGGCCTGTAGGCATGCCTGTAAGCAGGGAGCGGGGGAGGGCCTGTAGGCGTGCCTGTAGGCAAAGGGGGGAGGGGGCAGGGAGTGCCTGTTGGCGTGCCGGTAGGCAGGGAGGGAGGGAGGGGGAGGGAGGTGGGGAAAGCGCGCGTCACGCGCGAGCCCGCCGTGCCCCTTTCTGACCGTCGGCGCTAGCATGCGTGCACGAAGGTCGATGCAGCCACGCCTATCAGCCGCACCTTGGCAGCTAGCTCGTCCACGTCCAGCGTGTCCCGCAGCGCCCACCGCAAGAGCTCGCCCCTCGGCGGGCCCCACGCGGCATGCACCGCCTCCCGGTGGGCCTCCATGGCGGCACAGCACTCGATCAGGTGCTGGAGGCAGCCCTCGCCGCCAGCGCACAACGGGCACGCCTCGGGCAGGCGCTCCGCCGGCAATCCCCAGACCCCGACCGGGATCTGGAGGGACACGCGCGCGGCGCACCATGCACGGTGGAATCGCCACATAGTTCGCCCCCATGACGCCCACCTGAGGGCGGGGGGCCAGTCGCAGTGCAGCGGGAGGACCTCCGCGATGGGAACGAGGCCGGTGTCGTTCAAGCGGCCCAGCTGCTCCCGGAACCAGATCTGCTCGGTTTCACGGATCCGCGGCAACACGGCCGCGCGGGCCCAGCCGCGAAGGGCGCGCCGCCTCGCCTGCGCACCCGCCTGGGCCGCGACAGCCAGGCCCTCCGGCGGCGCCCCCACCCCGAAAAGGGCGGCCACCGCGGCGGCGTCATGCAGCCAACAGCCGCCTTGGCGCGCCAGCGCTGCCCGCACCGCCGGGGCAATCGGCGTCTGCTCCGGCAACAGGAGCATCCGGGCCCATGACATAACGATCCGGAGGGCCACTTTGCTGGAAGCCCGCGTCAACAACCGAGTCTCTAGGAACAGGCGCACGTAGCCCCCAGTGCCCATGGATGCGGCTGGCGGCAAACCCAGCAGCGCTTTGGCCACGTCATAGTACGCCCGGTTCAGCTGGGTTGCAACTTCGTTCCAGCCGCGGGCGTGGCTGGCGAGGAGTTCCGCTCCGTAGAAGGCCGAAGCCTCCGCGCGGGCGGGAAGCTGCTCCGCCTGCACTGGCATCCCAAAACCGTGGTCGGTCAGCCCTGCCACCAAGCGCCGAGCGGACTCGAGGAGCTTCGCGCACACACGGGCGAGCAGCAGGGGCTCGAGCGACAAGTCGGCGTCGATGACTACGCCCAGCACGTCCAAGTTATCCACCGCCCGTACTGGGACGCCGTCTACCGAGCCACACGCGGCGGCGTCGAGCCGCGCCCCCCCGACAACCATCGCGGCGGGGCCTTTGCTGCCAGACTGAAATCTGTGGCGGTACAGGTGGCAGAATTCAGTCATGCCGCCGTTCGCCCTTGCCAGGCTAGCCTCGTCGGGCTGCAAAGTGAAGCTGTCGTCCACGAACTGAAGCATGAACATGTTTTCCGGGGCGCCTCCAGCAAGAGGTGGGGGCGCCAGCGCCGCGCCTTCCGCCACCCGGCGACACGAGTCCAGGAGCGCGCGTACCAGGGCCCCGAACAAGTGCACCCCTGCGCGCCGGCCCTGGCCCACACCGAAGCCCACCAGAATGTGCACGGGGCCCACGAGCGGCCCGATGCGCAGGCGTACATTTTCGTCGCCAAGGGATGCGGCCGCGGCAAGCCACAGGCGCCCCCGCACCCCCGCACGGCGGAGCTGCACGAGGACAGCATCCCGCCAAGCCAGGTCGAACCCGTGCAGAAGGTCTGCTTTCTGGAGCACAGTGCGGTGCCCTCCCAGGCGGCGCAGCTGCAGCGCCATCAATAGGCCAGCGGCCATGAGGGTCCCGTCGAACAGCCCCCCGGCCTGCTCGGCCCCCGCGAAAGCCTCAAGCAGGTGCCGGGTGGCGGCCAACCACGCCGCGTCGAGGAACCCTTCGATGTCATCGACGTAACTTATAGGCCGGAGATTGTTGACGTCCGTCACGACCTGCGAGCCGCGCTTGCGGATGGGGGCGAGCTCCCGCATCCACATCGTCGCGCCCAGGCCGACTACAAGGGAAAGGTTCAAGATGGCCCACGTGACCACCAGTCCGTCGACCACGAGCGCCTTAGCCGCGGCACGGGGGAGGCGCAAGGTGCGCCTGTCGGTCGGCGCCTGCTGGACGAGGGACGCCACGAGCTCCACGGAGAACGGGTCGTCAACCTCCTCCGCTGTCTCCCGCAGGGCTTCGGCCCGGGCCTCCTTCACTGCCTGGCGGACGGCTGCGGAGAAATCCGCCGAGCCTGCGCCCGCTGCGTCGCTGCGCCTGAGGATGGCGTCAGCCACAGTGTGCATAGTCTCCACTGGCCCGAGGCGCGCCCCGGTGCCGGGGTCGCACAGGGCTAATTGCAGCGCCGCCTTCGGCTTCAGAAGGTGCGACAGAAAACCCCCTGCCCGGGACTGGGAGGCCGCCGCCAATTGGGAGGAAGAGGGAGAGGAAGGAGTAGGGAGGAGGAGGAGGAGGAGAAGGAGGAGCAGGAGGAGGAGGAGGAGGGAGGAGGAGGAGGAGGGAGATGGAGGAGGAGGAAGAGAAGGGAGGAGGAGTAGGAGGAGGAGGAGGAGAGGAGGAGGAGGATGATGATGATGATGATGATGATGATGATGATGATGATGATGATGATGATGATGAGGAGGAGGAGGAGGAGGAGGAGGAGGAGGAGGAGGAGGAGCAGGAGGAGGAGGAGGGGAAGAGGAGATAGTCCTACCCCCTCCCCCCCGCCAGGAGAGGGAGGACGCCGACGCGGCCTCGCACTTCTGGAGCTCCACGCGCCCGCGCGACCTCCTGGACGGGCTCGGATCGGGCGTAAAGGCCGGCCTGCTGGCCGCATGCTTATCCTCGGCCTCCTCCTCCTCCTCCATTCCCCTCCTCTTCCTTCTCCACCTCCCCGTCCTCCTCCATCTTCCTCCTCTCTCTCGGCAACCTCCGTTCAACTTCACAAATACACAGTATGAGTACTACTCTCCTCTCTCCCCTGGTGACGTCCAGGAAACTGCCGACCCCCTCCGCGTAGTGGCTTTTTACCCACAGGATTCCCGGGAAACGGGTTTTCGCTTGGGTTTTGGTTCGAAATGCTGCTTTCGCTGAGACGCTGGCTTCATTTTCGGGTCACCGCTCGTTCCGAGTCGTGCTCCCGCTGCAGCGCTGGCCTCATTTCCGCGCTTCCGCTCGTTCCGAATCGTGCTCCCGCTGCAGCGTTTGCGTCATTATTCCCAGCGCCATGCCACGGCATGGTTTTCGGTCCTTCAAAATAGGCTCCAAAACCTTGCGAATGGCTCCAAAACCTCAGCCCTTTAAAATAGGTTCAAAACATAGCCATAGGCTCCAACATCTAGAGAATGGCCCCGCGAAAAAATATCGGGGGCCCCTTCTCAACATGTTTCTCTTTTTTTTCCTCCTCGAAAGCTTCCACTCTTGCCCACCCCCGTCTCTCCTGCCCCGTCAGTCACAAGCTCTTCCCAGCATCCTCGCCCCTCGTCGCATGTCCTCACATTCAGCAATTCAGCCACCTAGCCGACCGACGGAGGTCATACCCAGGCCATCCCATCGCATCCATCAACACCATATCAAAAAGTCGACGCGCTGCTTTTCCACACTGACGTTTCGTCGCCGACGTTGCAAAAGTGCACGGCAGGAGCGGGACGCGGCGCACGTCCCGCAGGAAAGTGCGAAGGCCCATTCACGCCTTGGCACCGCGCCCTTCTTTCTCGAGCGCTGAGCACAGCTCCCGCCCGGGCGCGGCGCACACGTGTCGGTTGCCAAGTCCTTTCGGTAGCAGGTCATGGGGGCCTGGCATACCCTCCTCATCCCGTCTCTAGCGTCGGCTTGCGTCGATTGGCGTCTGGGAGTGGATGAGCTATAGCGCCGATCTAGCGTCGATCACCGTCGATCGAGCGTCGATTCGATTCAATCTAGCGTCGATTCGCAAGAGCCAACAGGATTCGAACAGTGGCGAAGCGTCCTGGCTTGCCTATAGGTAGGCCCACCAAAGAATGTTCTAAGAACCTTTTGTGGTATGCGCGAAATGTTCTAAGAACATTTCAGGCTGATATTGATTGTTTCCCACATCCTGAGTGGGGGTCTTGTTTTCCTAGAACACCATCTCCTTCTCCTTCTCCTCCTGTTCCTTCTCCCGCCTCCCTACCATACAGCACCATGCGTACCATACCATACCATACCATACCATACCATACCTACCATACCAGACTTACCAAGTCCATACCAAACTCATACCACCTCCACACCTACCGCCGGAGCGAGGACAGTATCAGGAGACAATGCCATTTACAAGGTTTCGTGCCCCCCCCGCCCCTCCAGGGAGGCCCCGCCTCAGCAGGAGAACATTCGCAAATCATATTGTTTATGAGGTTTCGTGCTCGTCACACTCCTCCAGGGAGGCCCCGCCTTAGCGAGGAGGGTTTTCGTAAACCATACTGTTTATCAGGTTCCGTGCTCCTCCCACTCCTCCAGGGAGGCAACGCCTGAGCGAGGAGGGCATTCGAAAACCATGTTATGTGTTATGTTTCGTGACCCTCCCACTCCTTCAGGGAGGTCCCGCGTGAGCGAGGATGGCATTCGCAACAAATGTTATGTATCAGGTTTCGTGCCCCTTACACACCTCCAGGGAGGCCCCGCCTGAGCGAGGAGGGTATTCGAAATCAATGCTATGTATCAGTTTTCGTGCCCCTCCCACTCCTCCAGGGAGGCCCCGCCTGAGCGAGGAGGGTATTCGAGAGCAGCATAATTTAACAGGTTTCGTGGCCCTCCCACTCCTCCATGGAGGCCCCGCCTGAGAGAGGAGCGTATTCGAAAACCATGTCATTTATGAGGTTTCGTGCCCCTCCACTCCTCCAGGGCGGCCCCGCCTGAGCGAGGATGGCATTCGCAACAAATGTCATTTATCAGGTTTCGGGGCCCGCCGACCCGCTCGGCCCCGCTAACTTAATGACTGTGTGTATGCAGATCATACACGCACCTTTTTTTCTGCAACGCTACATTGGCATGGATTTGCATGGATATACATTCCCACTCTGTCACTTGGCCGGCAGGCAACGACCACATCTGCGACGTTCCCCGCCACTCACCCAAGGACATAATGTCAACGATGTCCCTTAATATCACGCAGCGGCCACATCTGGCCCGTTTGTCGTCGACGCTGCAGAATGCGTGGCGGGAGTGTGGCGCTGTGCACATCGTGCCTGGGATGTCGTAGTGCCGCTGTCGCGTCCTGAGAGTTGCACCGCCGTTTCCGGGCGCGGCGCACACTTCTCGCTTGCCAATTCGTGGTGCGCGGGGCCGCGCGCGCTCTGGCTCGCCGACCCGGGGGAAATGGAAACGGGGTTCCGCGCGCGGGTGAGCGAAGCTTCGCTTTCCCCCGTGAGCGCCGCGCAGATTTCGCCCGACAGGGGCGGCGTGACCCAGCTTCAGCCCGCGTCACTCAGGTCGCCATTGCAGTGCTGACGTGCCGTCTGGGCCTGTGCAGGCAACCAAAAAATCAATGTTTTGTTTTTTTCCGCGCGGAACAGGTCGCTTGATCGCTCACAAGACCCGCCAAGCTGCTGCCACACCCGCTTTCGGGTGTAGGTGCCACCTTTTTCTTGTTCTCGGGATCAAATACTGCTCCCTCTGCTCCTCGACATGCACCTCTTCCTCATCTTCTTCCTGATTCCCCATCCTCTATCTCAGTACCATTTCTTCGCATCCACCACCCCACACTACGCAACGACCCAGCCGCATGTTCCACCCCCTCTGCTCCTCGTCTGCATCCAAGGCTCCTCGGACTCTTCCCCCCCCCTCCTTCCTCCTCATCCTCCTCCCTCCTCCTCCTCCTCCTCCTCCTCCTCCTCCTCCTCCTCCTCCTCCTCCTCCTCCTCCTCCTCCTCCTCCTCCTCCTCCTATGTCTCCACGTCCACCACTCCTGAAGCCACGTGCTCATCGTCCGTGTGCGTAAGTAGAACCCTGGTAGACGCCTCCAGTCCACCTCGCTCTCTGACCGACGGTCGGACTGAGGCCTCCCTGCGCTGCCGGAGTCTGCCCCCCCTCTGCCAGGTGGCCGGTGGATGCGTGCTGGCCGGCACTGCGGCGCTGTTGGCAGCCCCCGTGGCGGGCGGGGGGGAGAAGGACGAGGGGGAGGAGAAGGAGGAGGAGCAGGCGAAGGAGGAGGAGGAGGAAAAGGGGGAGGATGAGGAGGGGGAGGATGAGGATCGGGGGTGGACAGAACCCCCAACAGTGACACGTCGATTAGTGAATTGTCCGTTTTCGGTTCTCGAGAGGGCGCCGTGGCCGTTAATTTCCAGGCCTGCGCCCGCACGGTTTGGGCCTCAGGCCGTTTTCACTAAACCACGTTTTACTAAAGGGAGGCCTGTCCATCCCCGAGAGGAGGGGGAGGAGGAGGAGGAGGAGGAGGAGGAGGAGGAGGAGGAGGAGGAGGCGGAGGAGGAGGAGAAGGATGATGATGATGAGGAGGAGGAGGAGGGAGACCAGTGTAAACCCAAGAGCCATCAACGATGTTGGAATACACTCCCCCTCCAAGTTCCCTTGTCCTAGGTCCCTACAGCGGTTCATTTCCATTGTGGTACCTGCCTCGTTGGAAGACGACCGGTTTGGAGACCCGGAAACATGCCGAAGCATTGTTCTCGGGATTCCAACGCCACGGATCAACCTGATTGTTGCGTTTTCTGACGATCCCGGATAGTGCCAGAACGCCATTCTTTGGATTTCAACACCGCGAATCAACGTAATTGCTGCACCCGCAAAATCTTGAATCCTTCCAAAACGCAGTTTCTGGTTCGTTGACCGCGTGAATCCGTGAAACTATTTTGCACTTTAAACAAGGAATATGCGTGGCGCTAAGGCGAGAGCCACATTTTGAACAGGAGCCGCCCTCAATCTGTGAACTGTTTGCACTTGTTCACTTGTTTATATCGGGTGTGCGCTGTGCTAAGGCGAGAGCCAACTTTCCACCACCACTACCATAGGTAGGGCAGAAAGGAGGACGGGGATGTCCTCCTCCTCCCACTCCTCCTCCCCTTCCTCCTCCTACTCCTCCTCCTCCTCCTCCTCCTCCTTCTCCTCCTCCCCCTGCTCCTCCTCCTCCTCCTCCTCCTCCTCCTCCTCCTCCTCCTCCTTCCTCCTCCTCCTCCTCCTCCTCCTCCTCCTCCAGCTCCTCCTCCAGCTCCTCCTCCTCCTCCTCCTCCTCCTCCTCCTCGCCTCCTCCTCCTCCTCCTCCTCCTCCTCCTCCTCCTCCTCCTCCTCCTCCTCCTCCTCTTCCTCCCTCTCTACCTATGGTAGTGGTGGTAGACAATCGGCCCATCAACAGCGGACATGTTCCTTCAATTTCGGGCCCCAGGGCCCTCACAGATCGACCTGGCTCGAGGCATGAAGCAGAAAGATGGGGTCCTGGGCTCGGGTCGTGATTGTTCGCGATGTTGCAATGTTTTTTTTTACCAGCCTCGAACGTATCCCTATCCCTAAGATTGACACGCCAAAAGGCGATGACAATCTTAGGGATACGCCCTCAAAAAATAAGGGAATCCCTAAGATTGGCATCGTGATGAGGAGGTGCCCAGCATAGGAATAGGGATATGTTCCACGCTGGTAAGTTTTGGCGACGTCGGATCTCAGGGGACATGTTCGTTGGTTCTCGGCGGTGTCCCAGCGCTGGGGCGCGTTTCAGCAGCTGCTCGCCAGGAGCGGTCCGGGGGTGCCCGGATCGTCCCGAGCGGCCGCCGGAGTCCCGAGTTGTGACTCCATAGCCAGACGACGAGGATCACTGGCGCGTCGGACGCAAGAAGGGGGGCAGGGGAAATGGGAGGTTGCGAAGATTGCTGCATGCAGCTGGTTTCGGCTCCGCACCAGGGCGCATTCTTCGATGCGTTGGCGCCTTCGTCGCCGGGAGGCGCCGGGAAAGCCAGCTGCTCGCGCTGATTGCTTTTACTAACCCCCCCTTCTTCGCATCGTTCGGACGTGTGCATTTTTCCCGGCGAGAGCCATCGAGGACCATCCTGGACCATCGAGAGGGAGGATGAGTCAGGTGGCAGGAGAGGCAGGAGGAGGGAGTGCTTGAGACGAGGGGCGCTGCCTTTTCAAAAGGAGGACTCAGCACCACAGGATGGTTGAGAAATGAGGCGTGGAACACCAACGGCCCTGCCGTTCCTTGGGTCCGCGGTCCGCTACAGCCTCTTCGAAACGTCAGATCGTTCCAGGCTGGCCGATTCCGAGCCTCCGGCGGCGTTCAGCCCTGCACGCCCGCGGCGGGGTCGCTGCCGCGCCAGCACGGTGCGAACCTGCGGCAGGCTGACGGTACGGTTCGAGTAACAAGAAAGGCATAAACAGTACCATTCGATCCGCGCGGGATTTCTTGGATCGGAGCTGGGCCACCCTGGCGGCGCCTTCAGCCGCCCCTGGAGCGCTCAGGGATGGTGTCCAGCGCGGATCCATGAAATCCGCACGGAGCTCCGCCGAAACGCTATGGTTCCGCAGTCTGATGTTCCACGAGGGGCGTATGTTGTACAGCGGAGGCCCATGCGAAGAAGCACCCTGCCTGCCTCCAGGGTGCCCTGGGTTTCTTGGATTTCATGGGTTCTGCCACGGGAAGCGCGACGTTCCCATATACCAAAAATCCGTGGACGCCCTGGGGTCTCAGGGTCGGGTTTCCAATTGAAGGTTTCTTATGACTGGCCTCCGCTGTACGCAGTCTCCTGTTTCCTGCGGGGGGTCTGTTGTACGCGGCCCGATCCGACCCGACCCTTGCGGATCCTGGCGCTGGCGGATCCTGGCCGAGGGGCGGAGCTGGCGCGAGTGGGCGCCCCGACGCAGCGGCCTGCCGCGCCCCTGCGCCCGAGGCGCCCTCGCGGGCGGGGCCTCTTCGGCAGGCGCCCCGGGGGCTCCAGGTGTCTCGCTGCCCCTCCTCCTCCTCCTCCTCCTCCTCCTCCTCCTCCTCCTCTTCCTCCTCCACCTCCTCCTCCTCCGTTTCCTCCTCCGCCTCCTCCTCCTCCGTTTCCGCCTCCGCCTCCTCCTCCTCTTCCTCCTCCTCCTCCTCCGCCTCCGCCTCCGCCTCCGCCTCCGCCTCCGCCTCCGCCTCCTCCTTCGCCTCCGTCCCCCCTACGGCCCATTTCGAAGAACAAAGTGCCGAACGAATAACGCACACCCATACCCATAGGGAGGTCGGAGGGAGGAGAATTGACTACGGTTATGGGTTCGGGTCGTCGGACCCCTGGGGAGGCTCCCGTTCGAGCGGGGGCCCCCAGTCCGACAACATGGACCCACAGCCCTGTCCGTCTCCCCTATGGGTATGGGATGTGTGTGTTGTGCTGGTTTGTCGCAACAGACGGCAAAAACATACACTGTCGGAGCTCCGCGCGGATTTTTGTTGGATCGAGTTTCAGCGAAGGTCCAATAAATCCGTGCGAACCTCCGATCCGTTTCGATTCCGACATGCCGCCGATCCGAGTCGGTCTGGCCCGATGCTCACGCGACGCTCTTGTGCATCCTGGCGCAGCCGATCCTATTCGATTCCGACGCGGTGCCGATGCGGCCCGATCCGATGTGCATGCCGATCGGATCGGGTGCCCCGCTGCGATGCTGACCGGCCCTGCCCGCTCCACAGTTGGTGAGGCTTCGGACTGCGCGCAGGCGGGCTCCGACTGAGCTGGCGCGGTGGAGTGCCTGAAGCCCTTGCGCTCCCCGCTGCCACCGCTAGGGGGCCACATGCGAACCCTACCCCTCCCCCTCACGATTTTTGAGGTGGAGGGTGGGGGTCCCTTCGCTCGGGAGCTTCCGAACGAAGTGAACCCCACCCTCCGCCCCAGAAATCGTGGGGGGTAGGGGCAGGGTTCGCATGCGGTCCCCTACTGGCGCGGTGGAGTGCCCGAAGCCCTGGTTCTCCCCGCTGCCGCCGCTGCGACCGACGCCGACGTCGAGCCTCGGTCCCATCGGGTCGGGCGAAAGGGGGATAGCAAAGGGGGGTATAGCAAAGGGGGGTATCGTAACCCCCCCTTCCCAATCCCCCCCTTTCGCCCGGCCCGGTCCCAGCGCGCAGGGGCTCCGGGCTCTCCCGGCGGCTGCCTCTCTGCCTCTCGGCCTCGGCGAGGGGGCCCTGGCACGGCGGCGCTCCGCCAGGGCTCAGCCCAACGCCTTCGACTCGGTTCGCTTCGGCTCGATCTCGTTGGCTTTCCCGTTCGATTCGCTTCGATCGCCGATCCGATGTATCGATTCGATTCCGATTCGCTTCGATCGCCGATCGATTCACTCCGATGTATCGATTCGATTATGGGCTCTCCTGCCCAGCGCCCCGACTGCTTCTTCAGAGCCCCAGCGCGGCCGGGGCTCCGGATCCCAGCAGCAGCGGGAGGAGAGGGGCGGCCAGCTTCTCGCGGGCGTCGTCGCCCTACCGAACCGAGGTGGGCGCCGCCGAGGGCGGCATCGGCGGCTTCCTGACCGGGACCGTCAAAGGCGCCGGCATCCGCGGCTCTTGCGGCGGCGACGTCCAGTGCGCCACTTTTTACCGAGCGCGTTCCACTACTCGCAAAGTCCCTACTCGCAGACGTCTGAAAAACAGTTGTTTGCTTCGATGTAATTTATCGTAAATCCACCGCGGCGGATCCAGGCCAGTTGCGACTAGTTACTTTGCGAGTCGTGGAACGCGCTTGTCTAACTTTCCCCCAAAGCTGCTGGGGGCATGCAGTCTGGAGACGACGATTGCGGCGGCGACGCCCTCGATGGTGACCATGGCGACGACGACGACGACGACGACGACGACGACGACGACGACGACGACGACGACGGCGACGACGACGACGACGACGGCGACGGCGACGGCGACGGTGACGACGACGACGACGAGCTCTGGGCGCCCGTGACGGCCCCAAACGGGTAGAGCAAGCGTCCGTCAGCGCGGACCCCGAACAGCGAGCCCTTGCACTCTGGGTGGGCAAGCTATGTGGTGCATGCCACGTGCTGCAGGGTGCGCGCGCGCACCTTGCATCAGGGGAGGAGGAGGAGGAGGAGGAGGAGGAAGAGGAGGAGGAGGAGGACGAAGCGGAGGAGGAGGAGGAGGAGGAGGAGGAGGAGGACGAAGCGGAGGAGGGCGAAGGAGGAGCAGGAGCAGGAGGAGGAGCAGGAGCAAGAGCAGGGGCAGGAGGAGAAGGAGGAGCGAGGTGCGCGCGCGCGCTGCTTGCGCCATACGGTGCTCAGCGCAGACCGTATGGCGCAAGCAGCGAGTGGCGCACGCGAGGCGCCCACGGCCGTCCACCAGGTGAAGCTTCCGCAGGCCCAGCCAGTGCACGGGGAGCTCACGAGGCGCCCACGGTGGAGCGCCCGCCGGGCGAGTCATCGGCAGACCCACTCGGCCCATTGTACCGCCCACGATGGCCCACGCCTCCAAGACGGCCCAAGAGGCCTCCAAGAGGTCCTCCAGGAAGGCCCGAGGAGGCGGAAACATCATCGATTTCCTCTGGTGTTTTGAAGGATTTGGGTATCTGCGCCTGTTCGGCTTTCCGTCGGCCCAGGACGGCCCAAGAGGCCCCCAAGGTCGCCCCAGGATCGCCCAAGCACGCGAGACCTCGGCAGACCCGGCCAGCGCATCGGTCGCCCACGAGGCGCCCACGGCGCCGCCCACGAGGCGAAATCCCCAGCCATCGACTCCAGGACACGGCAGGCAAGAGCCTCCTGGCGCGAGCACGACTTGAGGCGTTCCACCACTGGCAGGGTCGAAGGAGTTGTCATCTCTTCCGCGGGAGGCGGCGGAAGGGCGGCAGAAGTAGAGCGAGGCCGCCTCCGCCGGCGGGAGCCGGCGGAAGGGCGGCGGGAGGTGGCGGACGTAGAAAATGCGCCCCCAAGAGATGACAACGTTTTTGGGTTCATTGTTTCCGGAATCCGCCATTTGAGGAACGAGAACGAGCCCCCAGGTGCAAGCGGTGCGAGTTTTCTGATGTTCCAACCTACTTTAGCCTCGATCACCAGAAAGAATTTCGAGCACCAGGAAAGTACCGAAGTTGGCGGTTTTTCACGTGTCGGGCCCTGGGAGACTGTCCTTCTACACTGTTTCGACGCTGTTTCGACACTGTGTCGGCACTTTGCCGTGTGCTCGAAACTATTTCTGGGATGTGGTCCTTACGCAGGATGGGGGCAACATGATGCGAGCCTTTCTGGTAGGTGGATCTCTCAAGCTCTCCGCCGCACCTGGCGGTGTGCGTTGCGAGCAGGAACACAGACTCCGGAGGTGTGCGTGCGTTGGGGTGCGAGCAGTGCGAGCTGAACACGCAGACGGCCTCGATCACCGACGCCGCCCGCGACGACGGCCGACGGCGGCGAGCCTGGCCGGGCGAGGCCCCGCTCACAGCGGGCCCCCTGGGGGGTCCCAGGGCGTCTGCGCCCCCAGGCGGTGGACACGGACGAGCCCCCGTCTCGCAAGACCTGGGGGGCGCCCAAAAAACATCGTCCAGGGATGTTTTTTTCCTGTGTTTGACCATTGTGGCATATTTTCTGTTCTCTTCGCGCCAGGATCGCGCCGCATCGCCGATCCATTCGAAGAAGAAAAACGCCACAACCATACACTGTGGGCGCTCCGCGCGGATTTCTTGGATCCGCGCCTGGGCTTTCCCGGCGGCGCCTCCGGCGCCGCCCCTGGCGCGTGGAGCGGGCCCGGCGCGGATCCAAGAAATCCGCGCGGAGCGCCAAAATCTTCTATGTTTATGGCTTTCTGTCTTCTTCTGAATGACCACAGGCTGGGGAGGGTGCAGTGGGGCCGATGCCAAGGAGCACCCTGCTCGCCTCCAGGGTGCCCTGGGTTTGTTGGGTTTCCATGGTTCTGCGATGGAATGCGTGGCGTTCCCGCACCAACAATCCATAGACGTCTTGGGGTCTCAGGGTTGGGTTTCTTGTCTTGTGGTCGGACCCCAAGTGTAGATCGTGTCCAGGATCTTGTGGCCCCGTCGTCTTCTGGGCGCGAGGGTGTCTGTTGTTTTTTCTCCGCCCTGGCCCAGCTTGCTCTACCGCGCCCTGCTCGGGGGCGGCCAAAGGTGGGGGAGGGGAGGGGTGCTGACTAGGAGGGGCAGGAGGAGGAGGAGGAGGAGGAGAAGGAGGGGGAGGAGGAGAAAGAGGAGGGAGAGGAGGAGGAGGAGGAGGAGGAGGGGGAGCAGGATGAGGAGGAAGAGGAGGAGGAGGAGGAGGGGGAGGAGGAGCTTCCAGGCAAACGCATTGGGAAACAATGAGAACTGGCCATTCTGCACACGCTGCAGCTCCAGCCCGGCCCCGCCTGGGATTTTTCACAAAAGCCGGAACGAGCTCCTGAGCTACCCTGCTGTGCTGGCTTCTAATTCTTCTACAACCCCACAGCTCTCCAAGGAGCTGTCCGGGAACACTCGAACCGCTCCAACGTGGCTCCACATTCCGTTCTCTTGCCGCCAGACATCCGAACTCCTCCACCGTTCCGTTCTCCCTGGGGGCGGGCAGCATGACCAGGGCCGAGACATCTGCCTGCATGTCATGCCCCCCCCTCTTCTTATTTCTGGACACCCCCTTTTCCCCCACCCCCCTGGGCCGCGCGCGTGCCTCGTGCCATGATTCTGGAACCCTCATCGTGAACATCTACATGCTGGATGCCCCCAACTTGCTATTCGTGATGGGGTGATGAGGCGAGACATGGTTCAGATTGGCTGGACACTTCGGTGCCTTGCCAGCGGACAGGTCTTCCCTACATCAGAGGGCTCCGACAGATGTCCTATCGCTGGCAGATCCAACATGGCTGAGGCTAGGACTGAGGATGACCAAGAATACGCGTTCCACCCAGAACAGTGGCATTACATGTATGTGAGGCTTGGCGGGGCTCTGAATCTGAATCACGTTAAGGTCCCGTGAACAACCAACGTGCCCTGAGGGAAAGAGTCCTGCTGTTGTTCGCCCGCTCTCGGGATCCTTGATTCTGGGGCTTCACCTGAACTTGCGCGGACAGTGAACTCCACCTTATATCCCGTTGACGTTTGGAGAAAACGCTTGCGCTACAATTGATATTGTTGTTGGTGATTGTCTTGCCAAGCTCGCTCGAGACGTGTTTCAACTTGCCTTCGGACGGATCTCCCAAAAGATAAAAGTAATTCTAAACCGGTGTGTTTTTGTCAGCATTCTGGGGCTTTGCCTGAGCTTGCGCGGGTAGTGAACTCCACCTGATACCCCCCGCGGTCGCTCGGGAAGAGCGCCTATGCTACATTCGATCTCGATGTTGGTGCATGTTCTTGCCAAGCTCTTCGGTTTGACGCGATTCCCGTTCATGTCAGGCAAGGATACTGAAAAATGGCCGATTCGCCAGGGACATCTTCAACAAATCGGCTCCGGAGGGGTCTCCAAAACAACATCGTCTTCGACTTGCTCCCAGAGGGCTTCAAAACGGCCCAAGAGAACCCCCAAAGGCTCCCCAGAGAACCACAAAAGCGCCCCAATAGATCCCCTAAAGGCCCCTAAGCAACGCTTTTTGGCTAAGAAGAGCCATACGGCCGAAGGGGGGCCAAGGTGGCCCCGAGAGCCCCCGAATCCGTTTTGGGTTTTTTTTGGGGTTCTCCATGGGTCGTTCCCTGACAAGCTTCGTGGACAAAGTGGCGCTTCCCATTCTTGTCCTGTCAGGTTTGTGTCTCCCTGGGCCCCATTGAAACAATGGCACTGGCAAGTTAACACGTAGTTCCCCGCAGTCGCAGATAAGAGCGAGGGGGCGGCGGGGAACGTCGGCAGTCTGAGAGGCTCTGAAGCAGCCCGCCGCGGGCGCCGAGTTTTTACAAATCATATAACGAGCTTGCCGCAGGCGCCGAGCATTTTTTCTTAAAGCAAGTGAATGTATTATAACATCTTATAGTGCGATACAAGATTACGCAGTATGCGATTACATGATTATATATAGCTTAAAAGACTATATAGTATACTAGTATATATAGCAATATAATATAACACACTGTGATGTAATCAAATGTTTTCTTTATATCCAGAAATATGAATGTATATAGTGCATATACATGCAAACATATAGTATACTGGGATGAGATCAGAGTGAGGGGGCTGAACCGAACGGTCATTCACTGTCCCTGGGTGCGTGGCTGAAGTGGAATTCCGCGATGCCGATTATATTTGTTGTTGTTTGTTGTTTATAGTTTGTAGTCTGTTGTTTGTTGTTTGTTGTTGTCGTTCTCCCACCCGCGACCCGCACCGCGACCCACCCGCGACCCCACCCGCGACACACCCGCGACCCACCCGCGATCCACCCCGCGACCCACCCCGCGACCCACCCGCGACCCACCCGCGACCCACCCGCAACCCACTTGCGACCCGCCCGCGACCAACCCCGAGACCCACCCGCGACCCACCCGCGATCCGCCCCGCGACCCACCCGCGACCCACCCCGCGACCCACCCGCGACCCACCCGCGACCCACCCGCAACCCACCCGCGACCCGCCCGCGACCCACCCCGACCGGCGACCCACCCACCCACCGCGACCCGACCCACCCCGCGACCCACCCCCCGACCCACCCGCGACCCACCGCGCGACCCACCCGCGACCCACCCGCGACCCACCCCGCGACCCACCCAAAATTTTCGGCGCCTGCGGCGGGTTTCTTTTGCATTCTATTCAGGTGTAGAAACCTGCGACCCACCCGCGACCCACACTGCGCCCGCGACCCACCCGCGACCCACTGCGACCCACCCGCGACCCGCCCGCGACCCACCCAAAGTTTTCGGTGCCTGCGGCGGGCTTCTTTTGCTTTCGTTCCAGGTGGAGAACCTGCGACCCACCCGCGACCCAAACCGCGTTCAGTGTACAAATCAAAATATTCGGCGCCTGCGGCGGGCTGTTTTTGAATCCCTTCCAGGTGGAGGTGGAGACCCCGCGACCCACCCGCGACCCAAACTACGCTCACTGAACAAGCCAGGCGCCTGCGGCGGACTGTTTTTGCATTCGTTCCGGGTGGCCCACCAGCGATTCCCCCCGCGCTGACTTTGTCAGAGCACGACGACGACGATGAGGACGAGGACGCGGACGAAGGAGGAGGAGGAGGCGCAGGAGGAGGAGGAGGAGGGCGCCATCGACAGAGAAGGTGGGGGCCACGAGGTCCGCCGGCTCGACGCCCGCGTCGCCCGCGCAGGCCCCCTCACTCTTATCCGCAAGTGCGGGGTGCTACGTACAACATCTCATGACATACTATTTTATATTATTATATAAAATAATATGGTCTAATATCATAGAACATGTAGTACTATACTATACCTATATGTATACATATATATATATATATATACATATATATATATATGTACAGATATTTGCTCGAGGCGGGCGCCTGGCCGCGCCCGCGCGGCCGCCGCGGCCGCCCCCAACAGGCCTGCTGCGCGAGAGCCGCGCGGCCGCGGCCGCCCTCCCCCCCCCCCCCCCATTGCGCCTTCGCAAGCCGGCAGCCACGGACTGGGCCTCCCAGATGGGGCCCGGGCAGATTTAAGTCGGGCCTGTCCCAGCCACGCGCAGAGGGGGGTGGGGGGGAGGGGGGAGGCCTTCTTGGAAGCACCCCTGCTTCTTAGAAGGCGCGGGCCTTCTCTATAGATGTAAGGCCGGCGCCTTCTAAGAAGCAGCCTCCTTCTAAGAAGCCCTCCCCCCTCCCCCCACCCCCTTGTGCGCGCCGCCAACTGTTCCTCTACAGGAGGAACAATGCACACATGGTATAAACAAAAATAGTCCAGGGACGAGTTTTTGATAATTTCTGCCCAGTCTGGAATATTCGTGACTATTTTTTTATTCGCTTCAGGCTCGCGCCGCATCGCCGATGCATTTGAAGAAGAAAAGCGCCATACACATACACCTTGGGCGCTCCGCGCGGATTTCTTGGAACCGCACCTGCACCTGGGCCCCCCCGGCGGCGCCTCTGTCGCCGCCCTGGCGCGGATCCACGGAATCCGCGCGGAGCGCCAAAAGTTTATGTTCATATGGGTTTTTGTTCTTCTAGCCTCGCCGATGCATCCGCGATGCGGCTCGATGTGGAGCCCGCGATTCCCCACGCCGATGCATCGGCGATGCGTCGCCGACGTCCCCGGACGCATCGCCGATGCATCGGCGACGCGCGTCGGCAAGGCGGCGGGATCCTCCGACCCCACCTGCGCGGGCCCCATCTACGGGAGGCCTCTGCATATGCTGGGGGGCCTGGCGCTGCTGGGGTGGCCGGGCTGCTGCAGCTGCGACCGAGACGAGCTCGGCGGCGCGCCCAGGGGGTGGTGGTGACTCAGAGGTCGGAGGGGGGAGAGAAGGTATACCCATGCCGCTGCCCTTCCCTCGCTTTCCTCCGTGTTTTGGGCTTGCTGGGAGGTTCGCTCATCGCCACCGCCGGATTCGCCTCGAAGTCCTGGTCCGAGCGCACCCCGGAGGAGGTCCGGGGAGTAGCGGTATCGGTACTTTTTGGTTTCCCCACGGGGGGGGGTCAGAAGGCTCAGAGCTGTGGTTGCTCTGATACACTCGTTCTGAGATGCAGCACGTGCTGTGTTCAAAACTTCCTTGTCGGTACGCAGCGTCTTGACTCGGCACGTGTGGGTCCACGTTTTGGCTAACCTATCGCGCCAGTCTTCGCTAGACCTACGTGTTCATTTTAGGCGTGAATCTCCGTATCAACACGCTACTTGTTGCGTGTTGCGCATCGGGGCAGTTGAAGCTCAGACGGCTCAGAACGTCTGGACCAAAAATCACGACGGGCAGTTGTCCGTCGTTCTGGGCTCCTGGTGAGCCTCGCCGGGCCCTGGGACTGTCGACAAAGGACTCGGGATGGGAGACGGGAGATTTTCCGGGAGCTTTCCGAGGGGCAAGATTTTCCGGGCGATTTTGCCACGGAGAGTTCCGAGGGGCAAGGTTTCTTGGGCGATTTCCCGTGATATTGCCGAGGAACAACGTTTGGTTCGAGATGTTCTTTTGAGCTTTGCGGGGCGTTCAAGACTTGTTTGGGAGGCTTTGGTTTCGACATGTGAGCTGGGCGCTCTCCCGATCTGACGCTGGGGAACCCGTTTCTCCCCTCCTCCTCCTCCTCCTCCTCCTCCTCCTCCTCCTCCTCCTCCTCCTCCTCCTCCTCCTATCCTTATTCCTTATTAGAATATACTCCTACTCCCCCCTCAGGCCGGCCATTAGGGGCCGCATCCGGGGGGTCCCATCCTAACCTGTAAAAAACAATATAAAATCAACATTTTTCTTATTTTTTCCTCTCGACATGGACGTCCTGTCGTCCACGGCGATAATCCATTGCAAAAAATACCACAAAGAGCACACGCGCGCGTTCATGTCAGAATCCTACCGAACACAGTGTGTTTGCAAGCATTTCAACATAAAAACATCAAAAACCCAATGCTTTTTTTTCACAAAAATTGTACAAATTTCCCGCCCGGGCTCTCTTGCTGAAATCATAGGAAAACCATAGGAATCTTAAGAATTCTGTCAAATCCAGCGATTTCACGTCATCGCGCGGTGCACTCGCGATGCTCTGTCATGCACCCAGGCCGCGAATCCTGTGCAAAAAATACCACAAAGAGCACACTCGCGCGTTCATGTCAGAATCCTACCGAACACCGTGTGTTTGCAAGCATTTCAACATAAAAACATCAAAAACCCAATGCTTTTTCACAAAAATGCTTTGGGGTGTCCTGTCAGACCGTCGGGCTTCCTCCGGCCACCTCTGGCTTCCTGCGGTGTACCGGGCCATTCTCGACTCGTCTGGCAATGCGTGCGCGGCATTCAACACGCGCTCGCCAGTTCCCGTCGGCAACCGCCATCGCGGCCGCATCAGCTGTACCAAACCGGCTGGCCGGTGTGACTTCGGCCCCCAGTTGTGCCAGCTTTGCTTCTTATGTTGTGGGAGGGCGGGTGGGACTGGGCATGCCATGCTTGACTCGCTCGAGCTGGCTAGCTTGACTCCTACTCCTACTCCTACTCCTACTCCTCATCTTCTTCCTCCTCCTCCTCCTCCTCCTCCGCCTCCTCCTCCTCCTCATCATCATCATCCCCCCCCTCCTCCCTCTCCTCCTTCCTCCTCCTTCTCCTCCTCCTCCTCCTCCTCCTCCTCCTCCGCCTCCTCCTCCTCCTCCTCCGCCTCCTCCTCCTCCTCCTCCTCCTCCTCCTTCTCCTCCTCCTCCTCCTCTCCTCCTCTCCTCCTCTCCTCCTCCTCCTCCTCCTCCTCCTCCTCCTCCTCCTCCTCCTCCTCCCCCCCCCCCCCTCCCCCTCCTCCTCCTCCGCCTCCTCCTCCGCCTCCTCCTTCTCAACGGGCCGGGACTGCCGGGAGGTTCGCGCCGACGAAAAAGGCGGTGACCGCGCCTGGGAGCGCAGGCGGGGCGAGCCTTCCCTGCCGAGGTCTGAGCGTGCTCGCCCAGCTGCCGAGCTCCGGGGCCCCCACGGGTCGATCCAGCTCGGGAAGTGCTGCACGCGGGGCCATTTTTTCGCCACCACCACCCTAAGTAGGAGAGGAGGGAGGAGGAGGAGGAGGAGGAGGAGGAGGAGGAGGAGAAGGAGGAGGACGACGAGGACGACGAGGAGGACGAGGAGGAGGAGGAGGAGAAGGAGGAGACGGAGGAGGAGAAGGAGGAGACGGAGGAGGAGGAGGAGGAAGAGGAGGAGGAGGAGGAGGAGGAGGAGGAGGAGGAGGAGGAGGAGGAGGACCTCCCCATCTTCCCTTGTCCGCCGTCCTACCTATAGTAGTGGTGGTGGAATGTTGGCCCAGCACTGCGGAAGGATGGGGTCCGGGGCTCCGGTCGTCTTGTTGTGCGACGTTGAGATCGTTATGTCGCAGGGTTCTCAGTTGGCTCCTAGGGCACCTGGCTTCTGAGAAGCTGTCTGGGTCTTCTCCGGCGCCACAGAGGAGGCTTCTCAGCAGGCAGGAAGAAGAGAACAATAACAAAAACACGAAAGAACGAAACAAGAAGCCACCTGACGTTTTTCGTGTTGTTTTTGATTGTTTTTGAGATTTCTTTTTTTCTGGGAGCGTCTGGGAAGCCAAGCCGTCTGCCGAGAAGGTCTGCCCCCGGACACCCCCCCCTCGGCGTGCCGCCGACGAGCACGACGCGGAAGTGGGCGGCGGCGGCTGGGGCCTCCACGACGAGTACTCGCTGGACTTCCTTCCTCCCCTATAGACCCTCTCGCGCTGTGAACAAAATCACGACGAGAGGTTTTTTCGCAACCTTCGGGACCGTCAACAAAAAAAACTCAGGATGAAAAACCGGTCCCGGGGAAGGGGTCCAGACCTTTGGGGGTCAACGTTGCGACAAACATCACGACGTCGGGGGTCTGGGCCGCCAGATCTGACGCATTTGTTGCCTCCCAGCGCAAATGAATGCATGTTTCCATGCACGACAGCATCCAACTATAAATATACGTAGCCCCCCGCAGTCGCGGATAAGAGTGAGGGGGCGGCGGCGGCGTCGGCAGTCTGCGAGGCTCTGACGCAGCCCGCCGCAGGCGCCTAATTCTTTTACGAATTATACATCGAGCCCGCCGCAGGCGCCGATTTGTTGTTTAAAGCAATGTGGTAGGTCGCGGGGTGGGTTGCGGGTGGGTCGCGGGCCGGGACGCGGGTGGGTCGCGGGCCGGGACGCGTGTGGGTCGCAGGTGGGTCGCGGGCGGGTCGCGGACTGGGTCGCTGGCGGGTTACGGGTTGGGTCGCGGGGTGGGTCGCAGGTGGGTCGCAGGTGGGTCGCGGGTGGGTCGTCAGTGGGTCGCCGGTGGGTCGTGGACCGGGTCGCGGTGGGGACAACGACAACAGACAACAACAACATTATCAACAAAAACAACAGCAACAACAACATTAACAATTAACAGCAACAGCAACAACATCTACACCACAACCACCAATTACAACCACAACAACAGTAATACTAACATCAACAACAACAGCAACAATGGCAGCAGCAACAACAGCAACAACACCGCACCTCACTTCAGCCACGCGCCCAGGTACAGTGAATGACCGTTCGGCCCTCTCAATCTGATGTATGTGTATCGTTATGAGCACTTCTCCGAGGGAGTAACCGCTCAGAGGCGATTGATTGATACTGTTCGCGATTGTTATGGCCGTTTCGATCGGGTCATCCTCCATATCTTGAGGTCCGTAGCATCACACGCAGATCGTGATGCCAGGATCCAAAGGCACAGCCTTTTTTCACACATGTTATCATAATGGAATTGACTGGTTGATGTCGAGCTCGATGGTTCGAAACTTGCAGTGTAGCTTGAGACATCCTCCAAACATCGAGTCCCTGTTGAATACGTTTCTTAGAACATAGGCTGTTTCGCCGAGACTCCGACATTGAGTCCCGACGTACAACACACAGAAGCACACAGCACACACACAAATCACACACAACACGCCACACACAACACACACATAGAACTCACACACACACACCTCCTACAACAGACATGACACACGCAGAGCACACATACACACACACACACACGCACAACCCACACACACACACACACACTTCACTCACAACATACAACACACGCAATACATACACACCGCACACACACAGCACAAACATAACACGCATAGCACACATGCTCCTCACGTAACTCACGTGGTACGCAACACACAACGCACGTACACAATAAACAGCACACGCATAACACGCATAAGGCACACGATCCTTACGCATTTCACATAGCACGTAGCACACGGCACACGCACACCATGCATAACAATCACGACACAAACACACGCATTCCAGACCACATCCACATTCTGCACATGCGTCTGTGTGAGCCAGGTGTGTACGTGTGCGCATCTAGCCAACGGTGTATGTATGCACATCTATATATATGTATATATATAACAACAACAACATGTGTGTATGCCACGGCCTCGCCCGCCTGGCCCGAGATGGGCCCAGTGGATGCTCCGCATTGGAGGCTCGTTCGCTCGCTCCTTCTCGCCACACCCCGGGAGGGAGGAGAGGGGGCCAGCGGATGAAGAGATGACCAATCATGCCCGCGTCGTGGAAATCTTCACGACTGGAGGTGTCTCGCTATTCTCGGGCCCTATAGGGGGCACCTGCACCGTCAACTAGAAGACTCTGGAGGAGCAGCGGCCTTGGGGAAGGGGCCAGAGTTCCGGGGATCCCGCGTTAATAAGGAGTCACGACGCCGCAGGCTTTGCTGGAGGAGCAGTCGGGGATTGCTAGAAGGTGCATCTGGCCCGAGGTGCCCCCAGCTTTTCGCTCCATCTTGGAGCCCCGTTGGCCCCCCGCGCCTCGTCACGGGCCCTCTGCAGGCCATGAGGGCCTTTTGAAGATCCTGGGGTCAAGTCGGGCACGTCCCTCAGCAGGAGGAATATCCCATAATAGTACACATGGTCTGGGGACGCTGCTTTCGACTTTTCGGGACCCGCCTGGAATCTCCCTTGACTAATCATTTTTCATTTTTTTATACATCTTCTTGCAAAGCCCGCCTGTAGGAGAACATGCCCGACCTAATCCTGTGGGGCACTTCGGGCCAGGGGCACAGCGGGCAGCACCCGACGCAGGGGAAGAGGGGCGCGCACAAACCGTGCCGCGGCCTCTCTGGGAGCGCGGCCCCGCCGCCGGGGGTCCGGCTCTCGCCTCCGTTGAGAGCCCGGGCCGAACGCGCCCCCCTTGCAGAGGCCCCGGGGAACAGCGGCCTCGATGCCTCATGCCATGGATCGGCGTGCCGAGCGAGGGGGGAAGTCGAAGGAGAAGGCCTTCTCTCAGAAGGCGGCAGAGCTTCTCAAGGAGCCCTCGGGCCTTCTGAGAGGTTCTCTGCGTCTTCGGGGAAGGCTTTTAGACAACTTCGCAGAAGGCCAGGGAACTTCCGAGCCTTCTGAGAAGGCCTTCTCCATCTCACTTTCCTCCCGGGCGCGCTGCCTAATTAATCATGATAATACAGCCCCTGACCCTGACAAGATAATGGATTCGGGGCCTCACTCGTTTGAAGAAGATCGACATGAGCATGAACTGTTTTGCGCTCCGCGCGGATTTCGTGGATCCGCGCTGGAGTCCCCTGGCGGCGCCTCCGGCGCCGCCCCTGGCGCGCTCCACGCGCCAGGGTGTCGGGTCCAGCGCAGATCCGAGAATTCCGCGCGGAGCGCCAACAGTTTATGTGTACGCCGTTCTTGCTTCTTATTAAATAACAGTGGATCCGCGACGTAACTGATGTCCACGGTGTTCGTCTCATGCGCCTGCATAAAAAAAAACGAACCTTGTGCCTAATGTTTCTTGGCCCTCCTAACATAGGTCCCCTCTGGAAGGATTCGGGGCGCTTTTATTTCTTATCATCTTCGGCCCACAAGAGTCGGGGCAACCGAAATGGGCACGGAAGCAGCTGGCACAATTTCTAACAGCAGGTAGCAGGTAGCTGTTTTGCTGGCTTCGCCGATCGGAGCAGGCCCCCGCAACCTCCCCCTCTTCCCCCCCCCTCTTCCCTCCCCTCCATAGAACAGCTCTTGGCTACTTTGAGCGGCTGCTTTCTGGCGACTGGTCAGGACCCCGCACCCTCAGTCTGCTTGCGCGGCTGGTAAAAGCAGATCGACTAAGCAGCGTACCATATTTACACCCCCCCCTCCCCCAACCTTCGGCCAACTGCCGAAGTTCTGAGAACAAAAACGCTCACCACTTCGTGCTCATTCGGGACAGGATTCGCTGTCCTCGTCGCCGCGGTCGTTGCCCATCTGCTGAGACACCAGCTCGTCTGCCCAACAGCGGCCGCTGCCGGCTTTGGACAACACTTGTTGCTGGGCATCGTGCTCATGTGTTCCGTACGAAGTCGGGCGTCCTAAGATCAAGGGAGACAAAAACCAACCCGGACCCGATTATTCTCGTTTAACACACGGCCCTGGGCGTTTACCAAGCAGCCGTGCCCTCTTCGATTCCTTCTTTGGGTGCTTTTGATAGATAAACGGCCTCGCGTGTCGGGGTGATTCTGAAGATCTTCGGCACCGCTTGTACTCTGCACCCTCCGGTCGCCTGAGGCCCCGCCCGCCCGCGCCCTGTCTCCCCAATTAGGGCTTCGCGCGCCCCGCCTAGCTCTTAACCGGCAGGGACCCGCTCCCGACCCGCCCGACCAAAAAGTCGGGGTGATTCTGCTGAGGGTGGATTTTCTGCTCTACAACAAGGGGGCACCAGTGCCGCTGCAGTAGCGCACCAGATGAAAGAAGAGCACGCCAACGGGTGCCCCACGGTAGCCTTTTCGGCCCCCCGTCGGGCCCCGGAGCCATTGGGGCATCCAGCGAAGCTTAGCGTCGACGGAGGATGCGCCCCCACGGTGCTCACCGCTGCGCTCACTGCTGTACTCACTGCTCAGTTGTGCCTGCAGTGCCTCGTTGAGAGAACACGAGGAAGGCGTGGCCTCACCGAGGTCTCCGCCTTCACATAATAGGGATCATGCATCTGGGCAGTCTGGACCGATACATCTGCAGAGAAGACCCCCTGTCCGTGATGTTCTAGCCCTCCTAACTTAGGCCCCGTCCCAAAGAGTTTTGGGGGCATGTCTATCTCATTGTCAGGGTCGACGCCCTGCATTTCCCCCCCCCCCCGCGTTTGTCGGGTGGCACTTTCGCGGCACTTCCCCACGCTTGGCCGCATTAAAAGTGTCCCGCGCGTCGTGGGGGGGGAGGGATCCCCACTCCCTGTCGGTGCATTTCTTGCTGCTGTGCCTGCCGTCGGCTGTGCATGCCGTGCCCGTCCCTCGTCGCCGCTGCGGGATCCGCCTCGAAAGATCCTGGCCCAGGCGCTCTCCCCCCAGAAGGAGAGGGGCCGCCTCCTCCTCCTCCTCCTCCCTTCCTCCTCCTTCCTCCTTCTCCTCCTCCTCCTCCTCCCGTCTTCCCTTCCTCCTCCTTCCTCCTTCTCCTCATCCTCCTCCCTCCCTTCTCCTCCTCCTCCTCCTCCTCCTCCTCCTCCTCCCTCCCTTGTCCTCCTCCTCCTCCTCCTCCTCCTCCTCCTCCACCTCCTTCCCTTGTCCTCCTCCTCCTCCTCCTCCTCCCTCCTCGCTCCTCCTCCTCCTCTTCCCTGCTCGTCGTCGTCGTCGTCGTCCTCCTCCTCCTCCTGGCGGTCAGAGATCTGGGACCGCCACGGAGGCGGGCAGGCGCCGCGGCCCGTGGAATGGCGCGGAAGGGTGCGGCACCTGTGGGGGGGGGGTGCAGCCAGCCCACACAGCGTGGAGTCGGGCGTGTCCTGCCACAGGAGGAACACCCAGAGATAGTCAAAACAGTAATCCAGGGACGCTGTTTTTTTATTATGTTCCTGGTCTATTCAGGAGGACGGCTTGACTATCTAGGATGACGATTCTGTTCCTGGGCGCGTTCGGAGGAACATCCAGAGATTGCCAGACAATAACCCAGGGACGCTGTTTCTATTCTGTTCCTGGTCTGTTTAGGAGGACGGGTTGACTATTTCTCATTCTTGCGGACAACATCCGCCTGTGGGAGGACACGCCCGACCTAAGCATAGCAAGGATGGGCAACCTTTCCAAGGGTACCGGCCCATCCTTAGCGACTTTCGCTGGCCAGCCTCGATCGAAAAACGTTCACATGGGCCTCCAAGGCCCTTGCATCCTTACCGCGCATCCTTATGAAACGGGTTGACCGTAGATCTGTAAATCCAGTTGCGCCATAAGTTGGCATGGATCTCTGTGTACAGCCAGTGCCTGCATCGGAAATGGACTGTCGCCGAGATGCCAGAATCCAGACCGCACCGCTGGCTGGCCTTCACCGCTTGCCCAGACCTGCTGTCGACACTTGCCTGCAACCGCCCTCCCTCAGGACCCGGCCCGCGACGAGGTGCTGTACGGCTACCACTGCCCCAGGTCCTCGTCGGGGCCATCGAAGCCGGCCGCGCTGCCGCTGGCGCGGGTCAGGGAGGAGTTCGAGGCCCGAGCGGGCCCCGACGGCAGGGTCGGCGTCAGGGAGCTCGGGGAGATCTGGCAGGCCTGCGCCGCAGGTCAGCATCAGGACAGGAACCATATTTCGATCTGACCAGTTCGATCCGATGTCGATTCGGGCTGGGCCAGCCCGATTGGATGCGATCCGATGGGGGGGCCCGATGCTTGCATGGTGCCGCTGTCCTGGCGCGGCCAAGCCGACCCAGCTCCGCCTCTCTGCCAGTGCGGCCAGAACGGATCCACGCTCTGGTCCAGTCGGGTTCATCGATTCAATGCTGGCCGCTCCTGCCAGGATCTGGACCAGGCCGAGAGGGCGGTGATCGCGATCGCGGCGGAGCAGTACATGAGGCACATGAACCTGTCCAGGAACTTCCGGGTGGGGCACCGCGTCCTCGTGGCCTTCATGCTCGGCGCGCTCACCGCTCCTACCCATCCGGGTGTCCTGAGACTCCCCGAGATTATGCGCGAGGCTGACGCAGGAAGAGGAACCCCTGACACGCGATATCAGATCTTTTCCATGTTGGGTCCCCGGCAGTCCCGACCCTTTCCCGAGGGCTGGTTTTTCATCCAGGGTGGTTGTTGGACGGTCCCCTGGGCACAGCGGGGGCCCCCAGGGGCCGAAACCAGCCGACACGTTCCCGCCGTGATCTTCCACGCTGCGGGCATGTCTGAGCAAGGATGAACCGTGCTGCAGCGGTCTGGTCCGGGTCGTAAAACCGTTTGTGCCGAAAAGAGCCGATTTGGTCCGTGTTAGTCTGCAACCCTAACACAGAGCTAGGATCGGGATAAATCGCTCCAGAGCGTTCCGGAGCGCTCTCAGAGCGTGCCAGAATGCTCTGGAGCGGCCGCGGCGCCCAATACATCCTCCAAACCCGCCGATTCTCAGAGATTTCGAGTTATCCCGATCCGATTTTGTCCCGATCTTCGCGTCGTTTGAAACCCTCTTTTCCGTCCCCTTCCTCATCCGGCAGTGTCATGCCGTGCCGTGTCGTGGCGTCGCGCGTGCCGCGCGTCTTGGGGTGACGGTGGAGCCGAAAGTAGATAGGGGCTCGTGTAATTTGGGCTGCACGGTTTGTAGTCTGAAGCGCAGGAACACGACGAAGAGCGCCATGGTGCCAGAGAGGGGCACGGAGGCGAGGTGAAGAGGTATAGCGGACAGGATGTGTGAGAGTGCTTGCGTCAATTTCGTCAGTGTTGGTACCTCTTGGGGCTCGTTCATAATCAGTAGTCCACTTAGACTCACACATAATGAAACTCGTGCATACATAGACCCGCTCGGACTCACTTATGGCCATATGCCTTCGTGCTCATCAAGTCACTCACGCTCAGACCCACTCCCACTCAGACTCGCTCATGTTCAGTCCCGCTCAGGCTCAGACCACTCCATGTTCAGACCAGAGGGAGCGCGGGGGGTCGCACTTGGGGCTTTGCACGGGCCGATTCGCGCCACGAGTGGTGGGCGACCTCTTAAGGTGGAACGCCTGGTTCTTCGAAGAGTCGCCGCGTGTTCTGCTCTTGTCTTCAGAGCCCAGCCCCGTGATCATCGCGATGCAGCGTCCAAACGAGAGGGTACAGTCGGGGCGCTGAAGAAGGAACCCTTTTCGTTGGGGAGGGGCTCCGTGTTCCTGGATTGTTTCACAGCTTGCCTTAGGTGTTCCTTAGGTTTTCGATGGGACATCGAACATTAACTGATGGGAAATAGGGGCCTCGTTCCTTACTTAGGGTTCCTTAGGTCAACGTCCCGACTGTAGTTTGTCGACCACAGAGGTGTTGCTCGGGCCCGGTCGCGGCCCCGATCGGTGGCACCCCTCGGGTGCAGAGCGCTTGTTTTCAGGGCGGCGCGCGTCTTTTTTTCAGATCCGCATGTTCGTCGCGATGTAGCGGGCGGTCTCCTCCTGCTGCTCCTCCTCCTCCTCCTATCCCTCCGATCCGTATCCTTTATTCGAAGATACTCTTACTTTCCCCTCTGCCCGGCCGATAGCAAACCCATGTGTGTGTGTGCGTGTGCGTGTGTGTGTGTTGTGTGTGCGCGTGTGTGTGTGTGTGTGTGTGTGTGTGTGTGTGGGTGTGGGTGTGGGTGTGGGTGTGGGTGTGGGTGTGGGTGTGGGTGTGGGTGTGGGTGTGGGTGTGGGTGTGTGTGTGGGTGTGGGTGCTTTTATGTGTGTGAGGTGGAGGGGGGGCGGGATGGGGGTGGGGGGGGGCTTGGCTTGGCCCCTTCAGACTCCCCCTTCCCCCCTGCCCTCAACCCTCAAACGGATGTTGGTCCCCCACCGAGTGCCATGGAGGGTAGGGGGGCACAGTCGCCGAATGTATCACACGTATCCTCGCCCCTGGCGAGCGGGGCTCGGCGTATCAGGAAGGTCGCGAAGCTCGATCCTGAGGAGACGCTGAACGGCATAGTGTCCGAGTTCCTGGCCATGGACAAGGGCTCTACCGGCTTTGTGAAGCTGCTGGATTTCATGGCCTATCACGGGCAGGACGCCTGCAGCATGCTCGCCTTCGAGGCCGCCGACCTCGGCTGCGACAAGGGCATCTCGGCGGCGAGCGAGGGGGGGAAGTGAGAAGGAGAAGGCCTTCTCAGAAGGTTCGGAAGTCCCCGGGCCTTCTGAGAAGTTTTCCAAGCCTTCTCCGAAGACAGAACAAACACTTCTCAGCAGGTGCGAGGGCTTCTGAGAAGTCCCGCCGCCTTCTGAGAAAGCCTTCTCCTTCCCGTTTCCCCCCTCGCCCGCCGCCGAGCATCACCCTCTGGGACTACATAGTGCACTCCCTGCGCAGCTGGACCGTGCCGGTGGAGCTCGTCGTGTACGACCTGTCCAAGGGCGTGGCCTCCATGCTGGGCCACACGGGTGCCTGCCGCGGCCCTCAGAAGCTCGAGGCCCTCTTCCACACCAGCATACTCGTGCACGGCCAGGAGCCGCGGAGCCACGAATTGCACAAACCATGAATTTCCGGAGGTGCGCGCGGGGTTCCCGGATCGGTGTTGGAGCCCCCTGGCGGCGCCGCCTGCCCCGCCCCTGGCGCGCGCCGCGCGCCATGGGCGGGGGATGCGCCGAGCCAAGCACTGAGCGCGAATCTCTGGAAGCTTGCGTTTACCTTGGCATCGCTCGGACCTGTGCGTTTCTTTCTCGGCACAAGGACCATCGAGGAGCACCCTGGACCATCTCGCAGCAAATGCGCGCTTGAAGCTGGACGGCGCACGGGGGATGGACGTCCGAGCGGTGGCGAGTTCTGCGATCCACTCTTCCTGACAGGAGTACTGGTACGGTCTCTCCATCAGGCGGAGCGACGACCCGCCGGTGTCGGGGGCCTTCGGCCCGCCGCTGGAGCACTTCGGGGAGGCGCTGCAGCCGTCGGAGTACATCCCCAGCCTGAGGTGATGGGCCTGCTTTCCACCACCACCACCATAAGTTGTTGGAGGGGGATGGGCTCCTCCTCCTCCTCCTCCTCCTCCTCCTCCTCCTCCTCCTCCTCCTCCTCCACCACATCCTCCTCCTCGTCCCCCTCCGCCTCGTCCTCCTCCTCCTCGTCCTCCTCCTCCTCGTCCTCATCCTCGTCCTCCTCCTCCTCCTTCCCCCCTCCAACTTCTGGTTGTGGTGTCGGTGGAAAATAGACCCATCATGAGGGTGGTGCGCCTGGGCCGCACATTCGCGCGGACGACGGAGCTCGCGTCCCTGGTGTCCTCCATGTCGAAGAGGAAAGACTTGCAGAAACATAAACGTTCGAAGCGGATCTCTAGCATCGGATCTCTCGCATCGGCGCCAGGAGCCCCCTCCCTGGCGACGCCGTCAGGGGGGCCTGGCGCCGATCCGTGAAAGTGTGCGAGAACCTCCGAAAGTTTATGTTCATGCACTTTGTTCATCTTCAAGCCGTGGCTGGGGGCAAATTTGCGAAGGGCAAGTACAACGCTTTTTCCAACAATTGCAACAGCTTCACGCACGAATTAAGCCTTCTGCTGACGCGCAGGGGGATCCCGCGGGCGGTGCGGATGCAGTCCGAGCTCTTCATGAGCTCGCCGACGGTGCGAATGGTTCTGCCCGCCATCAAGCTTCTGCTTGGCGATCAGGGAAGCCAGATGGACATAATCGAAGAGTCGCTGAAGCCTACGGCGGCGGAGGCTTCGCTGAAGGCCGAGCAGGAGATCGTGGGCATGCGGGGACAGCTCTGCGGCTTCTGGAGCAGTGACGCCGGCATGTCCAGATACGGCGTTGTCGTGTCGGCCTGGGAGTCGAGCTTCGACATCCGGTGGTTCGACCCAAGGACTTGCGCCTTTTCCCTGCAGGTGGGGGTGCCCGCGGGCTCAGTGCACTCGTGGTTTCCCGTTGACTGGGAGCCGGACAGCATATGCACAGCGCTCCGTCCGAGCCGCCCTCCAGACTGTCAGGGCGACACAGATGACGTCGAGATGGAGATCATCGACGTGTGAGCACCGCGTCTTCCTCCACGGCCTGCTCCTTTTCTCCCTTGCACGCGTCCTCCGCCCCCCACCCATCCTCCTCCTCTTCTCACTGCCTCCCCCGTCTCCCCCTCGTCCTCATCCTCGTCCTCTTCCTCCTGCTCACGCTGGTGCTCCTCCTCCTCCTCCTCCTCCTCCTCCTCATCCTCCTCCTCATCCCCAGAGGTGCCGCTCCTGAGGCGCCCTGTGCAAGCACACAGGGCGCTCGAAGCGCCCGAAAAAAGTTCCTGCGCAGCGGTCCCTCTCGGAGTCGAGGGCTTTCTCGGGCGCACGGGAACCCCAGGAGTTGGAGGACAGGGAAGAGGAGGAGGAGGAGGAGGAGGAGGAGGAGAAGAAGAAGGAGGAGGAGGAGGAGGAGAAGGAGCAGCAGCAGGGAATAAGACAACATTGCCTGAGCATACACTTTCGACTGTGCGCGCGGGTTTCTTGCATCCGCGCTCCGGCTCTTTTCGGCGCTCCTGGCGTCGCCCCTGGCGCGCTCTGCGCGCCAGGGAGGGGGGGTCAGCGGAGATCCGAGAAATCCACGCGGAGCCGCGAAAGTTATGCTTACACATGCTTGTTTCGAACGAAAAGAGGAAGGAGGAGGATGATCGAGAAGGAGGAAGAGGCGGAGGAAGAGGAGGAAGAGGAGGAGGAGGAGGAGAAGGAGGAGGAATGGGGAGAGTAGTCATTTCGGCTCAAGCCAGCGGGCTGGTGAGAGGCGCGCCGCCCATCAGCAGGCCTCTCTCTTCCGATCCCCACGGTGTGCCCTCGAGCGGCCCTGGGTCTCCCCTGTCCGCTCCCACACGGCGTGCGTCCTGGCTGCGCCGACGGATGGCCTCCCCTCGCAGCGCCGACGCCACGTGGTCAGATGCGAAGCGCGTGGGCGCGGGAGAATTCTCGGCGTGGTGGCCGTGGCGCAGACACTGCCGAGGGCCGCTCGTTCCAGCCGTGCCCCCGCCCCGGCGCGTGGCCGGGCCCGTTCTGGGCCCCGGAAACGGCAGGGCGTTTTTGTTCACCGTTTCCGAAAAAATGTCCCTTGAAAATGGAAACCCTAGAAAAACGGCGACCGGAAACGGCCACAAAACTGCTCCAGGATTGGAACCGGAGCCGGAACGGGTCAAAAAACGGCGTCGGAATTGGTAAAAACACGGCGTCGGAACCAGTAAAAAAACGGCAAAACGGAACCAGTAAAAAACGGCCCAGTCTGTTCCAGGGCCCACTAAGGCAGGGCCTGCGCGGGGTGCTGCGCGCCGCTCCTGCCGCTCCTGCTGGCGGCCAGCGCAACACATACCTCCGTGGGGCACGGGCAGCCTCCCGCACGGCGCCCTCCCAGCCGCGACAGGGGGGCCCGGCAGTCGATCCCCTGCAGCAGCCACGTGCGCGCTGGAGGCGGAGGCCATCGAGGACGCCCATGGTGACAGGGAAGAGCAGCGCTTGGCCCAACGCGCGGCCCTGCGCACGCAGAGTGGCGACCCCACTGCGGCGGCCACCCACCAGCAGAAGCTCGGGAACCACAGGAAGAGCAAGGTCGACTTGGATGTGTCCTTCGAGCTGGCCAGACCACGCACGGACCGCGCCGACCCTCCGCAAGAGCATCGGCAAACGCGAGCAGCTGGAGCTGCAGGGTGGGATGGCCCAGAACGAAGTGGAGCAGCTCAGCCAGGAGCTCAACGTGGCCAGGGCGAACTACCAGACGGCGGCCAAGAAGTTCCACACCATTGTCATTGCGGACGAGCCAGCTGCTCAACCAACACACAAACTCAACTTGTCCAAACTTCTCGATAGGCAAGAGCTCGAACTGGACGACGGCAGCTTGTTCGGCCTCGATTAGTTATGCGATATCGTCACGCCAGAGAGCCGTGCTGAGGCCATGCGGAGGAAGAAGCAGTTTCAGAACGAGTTCCGCGAGGCCATTAGCACCATGCCCGGGCCACTGCCTGTGAAGGCGGCCCAGCTCGGCAAAGATCAGAAACAGCTCCAGGAGAGGCTCCCTGCCAAGAAGCGCAAGCCCAATGACAGAGGGCCCGAAGGAGCTCCTGGCGGAGTGCCCCCCCCCCCCCCACCCTCCCCCCGCATCGGCAGGGGCCACCGAGGCTGAGGAGGAGCCGAAGGAGCACGCAGTGCAGACATGCACAGTTGAGCCTGACGCGGCGCCAAAGGCGGCCACCACCTCAGGCCCCGCCGGCACCGCCAGGACGGACAAGTCTGACGACCCCAAAATGTCAAGGCTGACCAGGAGAAGCTGGAGCAGGCAGCCGCCAAAGGTGCCAGGAAAGGCCAATCACGTTTTCGACAAGTTCTACTTCCAGAAGAGTCGCTTGGTTTTGAATGTTACTCCGCTGAGCGCAGCTCCGCGCGATGACTTCTACGAGATGGTTAGCAAGACAGGTGCAGAGGCATGGCGTGATGGGATCAGGCTGGGGGCTGACTGCAGGTTGAATGCTGACCTCTCTCTTCACGAAGACATACTCCCTGGGTTTGCTCGCAGAGCCCCCTACGACTACAACCACTGCCAGCGTGAAGCATCCTCAGCGGACAGGGCCTGGTCTGCTTCACGGAGGACGAGCACGGCTTGATAAGTGCGCCCACCGATGCGGCGATCTACAGCATCGCAGATGACTGGCACGCGGATGGCGACTTGCTGACGACCGACTGTCACCACGGCGACGGTTGCCACGTCGACTTCCTCAATGAGCACGGCGTTAGAACGCAGAGCGTTAGAGCACATGGTGTTAGAACGCATCGGGTTAGAACGCATGGAGTTCGAGCGCAAAATTCAGGGGATGGCCTCCCTGCTTGCCAGTCGCAACGCGCTGGATGGAAATGCGTTTCCAGGGGGAAGCAGCGGTGGGAGAAGGCGCCGCCTGTGCCTTCGTCGAGCCGTGCCCCCCATTCGGTGGGTCCGCCCCGCGGGGCGGCCAGAACGCAAACCCCGTTGTCGCGCTCGAGTTCGCCTCGCCACTTTTGCCAGGATCCGCCAAGACCAGGGCGTGGCCTCCCTGGCGCACCGCCCCCGTTTTGTCGGAACTCCTTGGCGTGTTCCTCGATTGCCAGCGGGAATACATGTGGCCACGCTGCAAGCAGGATGACGAAAGAGAAGAGCAAGCTGAGCGACGTTGACTTCGGGCCCTGCTGCTCGAGAGCTGAGCGACCTTGACTTCGGGATGTTGATCGATTTCGCGTGCGCGGCTACATCGAGAGCTCGCGGTGCACGGTGAGCTAGACGCACGGTTCGAATGGAGGAGGTACCGTCTACCATACGTATGTTGCAGGTTGTGTGAAGCCGCCTTCTTGCTCCTGGCCAGGCGCGCGGCCGAGTTCCAGGGGTGCGACCGCGTAGGTCCTAGAATGATCTTGGCCCGTGACTTCTGCAGTGGTGCAAGGGCTGAACAGGCTAGTGCGCGCGACAGATCCTTGGCGTAGTTCGCGCAGCTTCGACGACTCGGCCATCGTGACTACGACGAGGAAGTCCACCGCCATGTGGATTGGCAGCGGGCCGCAGGAGCCGGGGTGGAGTCCCGCGCAAAGTGGAGGCTACGCCAATCTGGCGACGGAGATGTGGCCGACGCCGGCGCCCCTGCCAGCGCCTCGCCTGCGCCTGCCATTTACAACGGATGCAGCCAGCTCGTCAGTGACACAGGCGCCGGCGGCATCCTCTGCTTCGGCTCCACCTGCGGCGCAGGCGGCAGGTCCAGGTCACGGGCGCCCTTCAGCCCCCCCTCTGTCCGTCTTCCTATACGGCGCCTGGCCCGGGCGAAGGGGGATCCAAGTGGTTCGTGTTCCCCCTCTTGGCGGCCGCCTGAGGCCCCGCCTTCCTGTGCCCTGTCTCCTTAATTGAAGCTGCGCGTAGCCCGCCTCGCTTTTAGCGGAAGAGGTTCGCTCTCGCCCCGCCGACCAAAAAGTGTTCCTTTTTTGGGGGGCTCCTGGGTGCCTCTTGGGTTTTCTTGGGGGCCTCCTGGGCCATGTTGGGGTCATCTTGGGCGCCGTGGGGCCCTCGTGGGGGCCTCCCGAGCAGTCCCCGGGAGCGATCGGGGGCTTCGGGGGCCATCTTGGGGCGCGGTGGAATTGTGACATGTCGCAAACGCAGAAAATGTATGGAACATCATGGATCTGGGTTTCTTAGGGCCCTCTTGGGGGTGCTCTCGGGGATCCCGAGCTCCTTCGGGTCTTTTTTGTTCGTCTTGAGGCCATGTTGGGCGTCTGGGGGCGGCCTCCGCGCGACCCCCCCTGGGAGACGGACGCTCTCGCGAATGAGAAGAATAATTATTGGGCAATGGACGCCATCGGCAGTAGCCACATCCACAAAAAGCTTGGAAAGCACGCGTGCGATTGGAGCAGGACCGCCAGCACTGCGGCGGGGCCGTGTCCTAGAGGCCAAAACCTCGAGCGGGGACCGGCAATGGTAAAACGAGAAACCGACGAATGCAAGATCGTTCGCGTATGCAACAGCACCCTTTTGCACATCATTGGAACGAATGTCAGCAACGCCGATCTGGGCAAACACAGATGGCAGGTAGCTGCGGAGAGCCGCCGGCATCGCAGCCGGACTGCGCCCCGGAGGCTCGAATCTCGTGCGAGGTGGAACCGCTGGGCCGGATAAGCTCACGAAGCGAAGATCCACCTTTTAACGCCACTTCAATTCACGCAGAGGTCGTAGAGCACATCAATATGATGCATGGAACGCACGCGCACATTTGCAATGTATGCTGGGCCGCCAGAATTGCTGCCTGGCTGTGCCCTGGAGGGCAAATCCTGAATGTTCCTCAATTACGTGTAAGGCAGGAAAAATAACGAGTGGAAGAAATCGCAAACCGTTTTACGCGCCATGCGCGCAAGCTTCGGCAGCTATATGCTGTTGGGCAAGCACATGTGGCAGGTATGCAGGACCGTCGTGATTGCCGCCGGATTGTGTCCTGTAGGCGTAACCTGAGTATGGGGCGCAGAATCGCTGGGACGCATAAGCTCATTCAGCGAAAATATACCGCAAT